ACATGTGTTTGTGAAGATGAATGGTCTGGACACGGAACAAAACCCTTAAATGGCGCGTTTTCCCTGGTCTTGACCAAGTGCAGGTCAAGAAGAGAATGATCGCGGAGTGATTTGAATTTTTGGTGATCGCTTTTACATTGCTTGCACAGAGCTTCAGAGCAATTCACACACCAAGTTGACGCGGGCTCTTGTTTTCCGTCAGATGTGCATGGATCACATTTTTTTCTTTCAGTTTGAATTAAACGTCTGTCTATCAAGTTTACCAAGAAGAAATTGTCCGTTAAACCTTTTATCCATGTAGATTTTGATAGCCTATTTTCAATTATATCCACCCTTCTGCAAGTGGGACAATGAATTTTAGATTGCTCTGAAGTGATAGTTACTGTATCTTGTTGAATTTTTTCTGATGATTCACATACTTTCATTTTGAAATCTTCACTGTTTGAAGTATTATCTTCATTGTCATCATTTACATAGGCCTCTAAACAGGTTTCACAGAATGAATGTAAACATGGTAAACATTTTGGGTTCTTGTAAACTTCCAAACATATCGAGCATTTCAATAGATCACATAAAGTACCACCCTCTGAAAAAGCGGCCATTATCGATTTGGAAAGATAAATTCCGACGCCCCGATCACATGTCGACTCATATCATTGTATTTAGTGTACGTTATGTTTTACTTTTATCGGGGTTGTTTGACAAAGTTTGTTTTGAAAGCTTGAAGTTTAAATTTGTGTGAAGCCGTGGAGTGGATTCTGTATTTACGCATTTAAGACAAGAGAGAATTAACAATGAGATTGTAAATTACACATGCAAGTCTTTTATTTTTGAAACAATACCCATTTGAGATTCTTATTAATTTTTCTCAGAAATCCACTTTATGCGTGAAGATTTTTGTTGATTTATATGAAAAGAAACAGATAATTGTGTTGACCAACTTACAATGGCGATAAATTTCTTTATTCTTAAGATTTTGAAATTTGGCGCAATAATTGTGCATGAAGTTGCTTGCGTATATAATCATGAATTAGTACTACATACGAGGGTTATCCGTAAAGTTCATGTACAACATTGATAATTACTGACAAACATCGATAAAATATATGAAACTATTATTTTCATTAAATTCATGTTTCGTTTTATCAATATGCAAGTTTTCAACAAAATCAAAGCACAAATAGTTATATTTTTATCAGATACAAAAAAGACGCACTCTCATACCCGGAGCACTAAAACGAAAATTCTTGACGTTACCCGACGTCAAAAGCGAGTACATGTAACTTTTCTCAACATAGTCGCCGTTTAACTCAATACATTTCTTATGTCCCTTTAACCAGTCATAGAAATGTGCTCAAAATGTTCATGTTGCATACGTAGAATAATATTTAACGATGCCTGTCTCATATCTTGCAATCATCCAACCTCCGTTTGCGTAAAAACGATTTTATTTACGGAAATACGGCAAAGACACGTTATGAAATTCATTTTTTACAGCACTGCAATCTCGGAATGATGGTTTTCCTTCACACATGTCATCCTGTAAACTGTTCCTTCTGTCCAAAAATATTATATGCAACTTAAATACTAATGAACACCTTCTTTAACTATGTTTTCCCGATTGTTTACAGAATGTGTTGGTCTCTGTAGCTGTTTATCCGATGTCAACGCAGAATTTTATCACTGCCCACTGCTTCACCTATTCCGAAAACGTCCATTTTTTTAAAACAATTCTGATCCTGTCTTAATATGTTCTAACTTTGATTGTTCAGCCATTTTGAAACTTTGAACGTTCAAATTTTGCAGGTTTGATGTGCTAACTTCTGTCAACCTTATAATGTAAAAGTCAGCCAGAATTTTATAAAATACAAATGTAATTTATAAAAATAATAAATGATTGATCTTTAATAAAAATTTTGCTGTGCTCCGCGTCTCCATTCCAAGTCTAATTATGAAACCATAATTTTAATTTAACATTTAAAATTGAATAAAATGTTACATTTTTCAATTCACATTAAGTAAAGGATTAGAAATATGTTAAGAATTTTTTTTTTTAATTTTTAGCTTGTCCACGAACTTTACGAACAACCCTCGTACATCCGCGCCATTCATTATATTATATAAATGTATATTATATTCTCAGCGGTATTCACAAATAAGCGCATTGTTGTCCTATCTAAAGTTCCGTAATTGAATATGAAGCTCGCTATAATTAGAACATAACATTACATACTTATTCTGCCAGTCAAATGCTTCCATTTCTCGCGAAGAATTGATTCTTCATGGTTAAGAATTCATGGTTTTCTGAAATATTTAACTGTGTATGATTGGTTTACTTGACAGTTATATGGGCGTGTCTTATTGGTTTTTGTTATGCATACAAAAAGAAACTATTCAAAACCCACGTGCTGTTTACAATCATATTTAAACTTTCTAGGCCTAGCTACACTTCTGTGTTTCCAATGTAGTCTTTTTTCGCCTTTCTAAATATAATTTTTTCACATTTCTTTATATACATAAGATACAACCATCGTAATGTATATCAAAGACGAACTTTGTCTTTGAAGATTTATGTCTCAATTTTCATCATATTCTTATTCGACACTAGACGGCGATGCCCACTCCTGCTGACTAGGTCCTAGTCATCTTAACACAATTATCATTTTAAAGTGTAGATATTAAGATTCTTGTTACAAGGATATTCATTAACTCAGTAGCTTTAATTTTTTCACCATATCATTTCCCTAGTAAATCAAGCTATTTCATATAATCACATGCTAAACTACATTCTGAAACCGCGTGTGTTCGATATTGATTGCGTGCTCGATATGTACAACGAGCAGTCAAGGTGAGCATTATATATGACACAGCCCTGGGAGGTGTTTATTTTTAATCCATTCATTTGATTGGCTGAGGTTATGTTCTAAGTCAGTAAGATCATATTAAGAGTGTCCCTTGTAATTGTTTTCCGCTCCGCTCCGCTCCGCCCATTCTTCATGACAAAGATTTCTATTAATATGATCTTACTATTACAAAGAACATATACAGTACATTTAAACGCCCAAGATAAAATTCCGAGGCGTTTATGCATAATATTATTACACAATCCAATCGATTGATCATCGTCATGAAACCAAAAAAATCTTACAGTTATTTCTTATATTTACATTCTTTTGATTCCGTAGAATTCATGTCCTACAGGTTCCGCTTCAATTCTATCTCTATTTGTCCCACCCCGCACGTGAGTTTTGTTAACCACGCCTATCGATGAACCAGTGCATTTGTGTGGAAATAAAGTGAACTTACACTTTGCAATTTTTATCTTGGACAAAGACATTGGATATTTAAATACTAGTACAAGGGGTGATCAAAAAGTTCGCGAACTATCTCTATATCTACAAAACCACAATTCAGATTAGAATAAAATTTGGTACACACATATACATACACAAGTTCTATAAATAGCATATGCTGATTTAAAATTTGCTCCTTGTTTGTGGCGTCACAATGCGAAAATGAAGTCACTATGTAGATCACTTGTAACGAAAAATGGTTGTCTCAGTCGAACTTGTTCAATAAACGATTGTACAATTTATTGTATATCTTAGAAATCAATTAAACAATTTTAGATAGGATAAAAATGATGCACCCATTCTCTATCCACCTTGAATAAACGTCTCTCCCGAGACAGGATATTTGTGTTTTAATGGTCGCCATGCTTATTTTTGGAAATGATATTGTTATCCACCCATTCTGTTGCCGAGATTTGACCATTTCTGACAAATGAACTGTTCTTCTTATAAAATTTAACTTACATGGAAAGAAATAAAAAAATAAAAAAACTCAGAAAAATCTTTGAGCTTTTGTGACAGAACGCTACGGAGGGGGTCACGTGACCGGCAATATCACGTGATTCGCGCATGTGCAGAACGATGGTTGATGTGCAATAAAATCGGTGAGGATTGATTTAAAATAGAATCAACAGTGAAACCAAATATTGTTTCTTTTTTGGAAGTTATTCAATTAGTTCTTGAACTTTTTGATCACCCCTCGTATGTATGTATAAATATCAAGCACCGAGGCTTCTGGATACCCTCCTTTTAGGGGAATATCACTTATTCAAATCTATATATTTTAAAGCAAGTACACGTACTATATAAAAATATCCTGTATAATAGCTAGCATGATTGCATGATGGCATGACTGTAACTTAAATTAACATAACCTTTTTTAATTAAACAAACGATAATGGAAATTTTAAGAAAAATAAAATAGATAGATCCCACCACTTGACAGTCTAACTGTTCACAAATACTTGTCTTGGTTGATAATAATGAAAACCTCAAAATGGATGCATGAGGGCTTGTGAACTGTAATTTCAATTTTAAGTGGCCTACGTTCTTCTAGATACAATTGATTAGGAATTAGTATCTAAAAAAATGAGGTGTTAAATAAATCTTTATATGCATCCGAATTTTTTAAAAGTCAAATTTAAGCTGCGAACATTGTGCTTCAAAAATACTGAAACTCAAAAGAAACGCAAACCCTAAATTTAGGGGTGGGGGTGGGGGTAGGGCTTATATACGGGTTATACGGGTTATATTCCCTAAAAGGAGTTTTATTTTTTTGATTTTAACACCACGATAGAAAAAATGTTTTAAAGCGTTCAACAGAAATCGTTTTAAGGATAAAAAACATATTCTTTTAATGTAATAAACAGTCATTGAAGTAATGTTCTTTTATATTTTTGGAATATATTATATATGCCAGTTTTATTTAAAATTTGTAAAATATTAAATACATCAGTCCTGCATTCATTGTTTGTGGAATATTTATCCTTCATGGGTGAGAGATTTAAAATACATAAATTCTCATTTTTTGACGTAATTACGTTGTAAAATTTCATTTTCATCTTTCAAAACCAAAGAATCCTGCACAGCGATGCGTTCTTTGGTGCATGTAAGAGCGCAGTGGGAACGACAACTCTAGAAAGTGAATTGAGTTGTCACGTGATATAATAATGGCTACTTCTTCAGAAAATGATTTCCTAAGTGATTTATTGAAGTGCTCAATATGTCTGGAAATTTACAAAAAGCCAAAATGTTTACCATGTTTGCATTCATTTTGTGAAGCCTGTTTACATACCTATGTAAATAGTGACACCGAAGATAAAACTTCAAACAGTGAAGACTTGAAAACGAAAGCGGATACAAATTCAAAGCATTCTGAAATTCATTGTCCCACTTGCAGAAATGTCGTGAAGATTGAGGATGACAACTCATCCAAAACTACATGGCTGAAAGGTTTACCGGACAATTTCTTCATAGTAAACCTGATAGACAGGCGTTCAATTCGAACTGAAAGTAAAACTTGTGATCCGTGTGCATCAGACGGAAAACGAGAGCCCGCGTCAACTTGGTGTGTAAACTGCACTGAAGCTCTGTGCAAGCAATGCAAAAGCGATCACCAAAAATTCAAATCACTCCGCGACCATTCTCTTCTTGACCTGCACTTGGTCAAGACCAGGGAAAACGCCCCATTCAAAGGTTTTATTCCATGTCCAGAACACCTATCTTCACAAGCTCAGGTGTTTTGTGTTGATCATCATTCAGCATGCTGCACCTTATGTGCTACTATCCGTCACAGAAAGTGTTCTGATATATTAACATTAGAAGAAGCTGCGAAAAACGAAAAGGTTACACAAGAGTTAAATGCAAAATTAGATGAACTGGCCAAAGAAATACAAATAAAGATTTCCAGCAGAAAAGAGCGTCAACAAAATTTGCAGACATCGAGAGAAGCTATAGAACAGGAGGTAGACACTCAGACAGATGAAATGATCAGTCATCTGGAAACCCTGAAAACATCATTTAAACAGGGGCTCCAAAAATATGAACAAAATGTGACTAAAACTCTTGAGAGCGAAATTTCAAAGCTTTCCACTCTCTTATCAATAGTCCTGTATAAAAACAATTATTAACTGCTTCGGTTGAACAAGGGTCAAACGAAGAATGCTTAGTTGAAAGAGAAAAAATTTTGAAATCAGAAGGAGAACTAAAGAATAATTTTAGTGTATTCGATGCAGTAAGATCAACTGGAAAACTTTCATTCCATGCAGATTCTGGGTTTTTGAACTTGAAGTCTAAGTTAACAACAATGGGGCATTATGTTGAAGAGAAAAAATATTGCATGAGAGAAGAAAAAATCAAATTACTTCAGAAGGTGGAGCTCTGTGGTGGTGTCTGTAATGTTGTCTTCGACAATCAAGGTAATATCGTAATCACTGATTATCACAACAAAAGGGTACTAGTATGTGATGTTTCTTTGAAATGCAAATCTACAGTGTCAGTACATGGAAATCCACGGGACATAACGATAAATAGAGATGGTCTTATATATGTCTCCTTACCTATTGAGATGGAAATAATTGAATTGGATGTAAAAACCAACACTGTCAGAAAAATATTTTCTACATCAATTGAATGTTGGGGTTTGTACTGGATGAATAATAAATTCTTCATCAGTAATGCTAAAGGCAACCTTATTCAGATATATTCTGATATGGGGAAGAAAACAGATGAAATGGAGACATCCGGCGCATGGATCATTTCTGGCAAACAAGACACCGACAGTATTCTGTACGCTAAAGGTGATGAACTAATGGAAACCTCGGTGAGTTCTAAGGAAGAGAAAATGTTATTTCAACAATCTGCTTCAGGACTACGTGGCATTAGCACGGACTTTGATGGCAATGTATACACAGTTGGGAAGAACAGTAACAAACTTTACCAGTTATCTGAAGATGGAAATTTGATTCGAGAGATGAATATGGGAGAATTTCATCTGAAGAAAAATCTTTGGAGTGTTCGTCTTAATGACGGCAATAAGTTTGTCATTACATCTACTGGCGGCTCCGTTGCTGTGTTCGAGATAACTTCTGAATAATTCTACATGATGTATTTATATGATATTTTTTACATGTACGTCTATAGTGTACCAACAAAACAAAAACTTGTACAAACACATTTCAACTTTTTTGTTTTGTTTTGTTTTGTTTGTGTTTGAATGTGTGTGTTTCTTACAAAGCTTGTCTGTTTTAAATGGCATCGTTGCTTTTTAATTTTAATATGGTTTTGTACTTAATAGTGGACTAACAATGTGTGCAGTGAGGGCGTATCTGTTAAACATAAATTATATTTTCGCTGGCCACAATATGCACTGTATAATTTTTCAGCCAGCGACAACTTATATAGATGAACAACAATATGCGCTGGTGACAATATGTACAGGACGACGATATGAACAATTGCAAGTGAGCTTCGTGAAAAAATTCTGAACATATTTTTTCATCCGGCGACAATATAAGGATGCACTGAGAATATAGGTGTATGTCATCATCGAAACGACAATAAGTATCGTATCAACCCTTTGCAAAGAAGAAATTGTTCGAGAGAACATATTGAACAGTATTCAAGCTCAAAAGTCTATTCAAAATTACAGAATACATGTACATTCATGGGAACCAGTGCATGGATTTTATACAGCGTTTCAGTATCTTTAAAACATATCAAAGAAATACTAGATTGAAATACTGAAATATTGAAAAAAAAATCTTAACTGCAGATCAATCTACAATTGGATGTGGCATTTGTGGGTTTGTTATGTTGGTGTAACCAAGAAGTCACTTGATTAATAAATTAACAGAATTTTTGCAAAGTAATAGCCCTTCAAGAGTACACCTTCCCATATTAAAACAACAACCGACAGGAATGCTGAATAAGTAACTAGGCATGGCTTTCCATATTATGCTGGCAATGATAATTTCGATAGTGTTGGGAATCATTCAAATCAAGTCGAGAGTATCACAGTGTGAGTGAGATGTGACTCTTAAAAAAGAGATATGTAAACATAGTAATGGACACTGTGGTTTTACAAGCACCTAAGTTTTAACACCAGTGAAGAAAGAAGATGCACTGCAATATATTCATGTAGTGATGTAAATGAGATATGGATACTTAAAATCAGAAAATTTGAAGACAAAACATTTTACCAAAATACATAACTTCAAAACGTACGACTTTCAACTCTTTATATATTAACCATTCCCCACGTTAAAATTAAGTCCAGAATTTTTTACATCATAGATAGCTGCTTCTTTTTCAGAAAAAAAATAGTAAAAATGGAAGTCGTAAATTTATATACCTTTGCAAATATCCCGTTGACATTTGCAAAATCATCATTTATGTAGCAATTTACATGTACCATTATCACCTTTACATGGAGTATAATTATGTCTCCCTGCTTTAATTGAGAGTTTGCTCTACGTACGTACAATACAGTAACTAATTAATACGAGACAAGGTATTGACAAATAAATTGATGAAACAAAGAACGTACATCATCAGTGTCGTTCTATAAGTCAACATTTGGCAAGTTCTATGGTCGATAGAGTACTACGATATTGCTTCCATATACAATCTATCACTAAGGCGAATTTTAACTGATCTTTCTTCATTGAAATTGTAAGGCCACTATTATTACCCGGTACATTGAATTGCATACGAGTTGTCCAATCATGACAAAGAGCACACGGCACTTTTTAGCAGGGGTTGCTTGCTTATCTATGGCATCTGATCCAACCTCTGATGCATTTAGAGGTCTGTGTTTGCTCCCCGTTTGTATTGTTTAAGTGGATTTCTGAGATCTTTGTTCTTGATTTTTACAACATTAAGAGAGAGGCTAAGATATGAAATCTATCGGCCATCAGCATTATCAAATTAAAAAGGATAACTCAACGAAGAAATTAAGGATTTAAAAAAATGCCTTCTGGTTCTTCTAAAGGATAATTCTACTTTTTTAGCGATGTCAAAAAGAAAAATTACTTAAAATGTCAATGTACCAATACGCAAAAGAAAGTTTTTGATAATTTTACAAATGTAGTATTTTCGCTGGTTCAGTTCTGATTCTCAAAAAAGGAATCGAAAATTAAAAAAGAGGCCGATATTTCAGAATTTTTTTCCAGAATACATACTAGTAAACAAATATGTTTTTGCCTCAGAAGTCTAGAAATACCCGGTACGATCAAAGAAGTTCTGTAGTGTAAATTTTTATAAATAAAATAGACGTCAAGGAATTTCTGTAATGTGAAGATTTGTAAAACCAGAATAAACGAGATTTGTGTAAGATACATGTGCATGACAGTAATTATGTCAATATCTTGGTCAGCCTTGCGCTCGTCATGAAATCTAAGTTACCTAATCAAACTAACCTTGTTGTTATCATGGCAAAGGTAAAGGGACCCATGCTTCCTACATAAAAGGCCCGAGAGGAGACCAAAGAACGATAAACTGTAGGAAGCATTCAAACTGATCACAATGCTGAGAATTTTGTGTGGAATCGCTCTCGTGATTGGTGAGTAGTAAATAAAATATGATATTTATATAAATAGAAATTACTGACATAACAAACTGCATGTATTTAGTTCATCCGGCCTTTTAACTTTGGTCTGAACCCCAAAATACTATAATATAGTATCAATCATATTTTAAATTATCGTTAAAAATTACGACAAACTTTGATTTTCATGCTTCTCAGTACTAAATTTCGATAAATAGCGACTAAAGGCTTAAAGAAATGTTATCATGCACTTAAAATCTATGTGCATTTTGTTTAACGTCCCTCTCGAAAATTTTTCTTTCATACGAAGACGCCACCATTTACTGGTGACGAGCTGCAAATTTTATTCAGACTCGGCACTCAAGGCCATTGAGCAGTGAAGGATATTTTTCGTGCCAGCAACTATTGCGACACAGGACCTCGGTTTTTGCGGTCTCATCCGAAGGACCGGTCCTCGCGTTCCACAGTGGGATGAACTAAACTAAAATATGTATATATCGGGCAGTTTCTAAGCTCAAAATCCATTAAAACATTGCGCATCGGGAACAGAGCAAACACTGACCTCCAAAACATCAGAGGTGGGATCAGGTGCCATGGAGGAGTGCCGACTGGTCACATGCGCTGTGAACTCCCTGTCAATATCAGGAAAAACGGAAATTTTCAAACAATTCAATTCATTGTATCTATATTAGCGTTAGTAGCAATATTTTAAGCATGAAAAATATTAGCATGTAAGCATTTGACTTTATGATAGGTTTTATTTTCTAACAATGTCAGTGTATCGACAATAAAACTTACATGTACGAAATGCTGACTTTAAACGAGACTGTTGATATCCTTGTTTCATCGACTCGTTTTTCAATAGCTTGCCTCGGGGCAGAAATAGCTAAAATGTAGTATCAGGTAAAGCTCAAGCAATCGAAACACATCATAAAACTATACTTTTATACAAGACGAAACTTGACTTTGCTTTCTTTCCACTTATTTAGTGACAGCTACTGCCTTTCCAAACCTTCAAGAAAGAGCTGAATCATGCACCACCGACGCTGACTGCCCTAACGACACATGCCATGACCATCCAGGAAATGTAATATGTGCAATTCACCACGGAAATACCGGCGTCTGCCATTGTGAACATCACCACCACACGCCACATCCTCATCCTGCAGTTAAAGCCGAGTCATGCACCACCGATGCTGACTGCCCTAATGACACTTGCCATGACCATCCAGGCAATGTAATCTGTGCAATTCACCACGGAAATACCGGTGTCTGCCATTGTGAACATCACCACCACACACCACATCCACACCCGGCGATAAGAGCCGAGACATGCACCACCGATGCTGACTGTCCAAATGACACTTGCCATGACCATGCTGGAAATATAATCTGTGCAATTCATCACGGGAACACAGGGGTCTGCCATTGTGAACACCATCACCACACGCCCCATCCTCATCCTGCAGTTAAAGCCGAGTCATGCACCACAGATGCCGACTGTCCAAATGACACATGCCATGACCACCCAGGAAATGTTATCTGTGCAATTCACCACGGAAACACAGGGGTCTGCCATTGTGAACACCACCACCATACACCACATCCTCACCCTGCGATAAGAGCCGAGTCATGCACCACCGATGCTGACTGTCCAAATGACACGTGCCATGACCACCCAGGAAATGTTATCTGTGCAATTCACCACGGAAACACAGGGGTCTGTCATTGTGAACACCACCACCATACACCACATCCTCACCCTGCAGTTAGAAATGATAAATGTTTTAATGATACTGACTGTCCACAAGCTACTTGTCACGGACAAGATGGAATTGTGACGTGTGAAATTCATCATGAGGGCCACGAAGGGATATGCCATTGCACACGTAAGTAATTTTGTTGTTTTGTTCAAAATTTAAGAAAAAAGAATTTCTTTGCATTTTATTTTTTTATTTGTTCCCAATCATTATTTTCCTCTTTTTTTTTCTCTCCACTAGATACTCAAAAGTCATGGGAAGATGAAGAAGAATAAACACTAGATCAACTATTTTCTTTCTGTATTCATATTTCATATACATGTATCTGATCTTGTATTATTAATCATTAAGACTTTATATGTATTTATTGTATCATTTTTATGTATGTTGAATAAACAATATTTACACTTAATTTGCTCATTGGTCTGTTATATGGGTAATGATTGTGTTACTGATCTATCAATTTTAAAAACATTTTGAACGAAAAAAAATCACCAACCAATATATTAAATTTGTAACTGTAAATTGAATTCAGTACTTCATTATTTTATCACAAAAATGCAACGTAGCTGCAGGTATTTTTATATCTGATGTATTTTTAATTCAAGTATAGGAATATGAATTGAGGGCTTTAGATGAAACTCATGTATTGGTGTTTATATATGTTATAAGAAGATTGATTGATTATATTTGCTTAAGTCCCTCTCGAGAATTTATCACTCATATGGAGACGCCATCCCTTGCCGGTGGAGAGCTACAAATTTTGTCCTATACTCAGCACTGTGGGCCAGTGAACAGTGAGAGTCTTTTTTCATGCCAACACCTGCAACACGGGACCACGGTTTATACGGTCTCATCCGAAGGACCGGTCTCCACGTCCCACAGCGGGATTCGAATTAAAACGCGACGTACGGATTGGCTCCTTACTTCTAGAGCAGACGCTATAACCACGCGGCTATTGTAAGAAGATAAGATTTATGATTTTATAAGAAATTACCTGTATAGCATATCTTTCTAATTAAATGATTAAATTATTTTCATATCAATTTTAATTTTAAACAAGATATGTTTGTGAAGCATTGATGCCCCCGTATGGTGAGGGTTGAATTCTCTCAAATGCATGTCAATCTCCAAAGGTAAAGATCAAAAGTTTTGGTACCCAAAGGAATGTCTTGTTACAAGAAATACACCAGTGAAATTTGAAAGCCGTACTACTAACTGTTCAAAAGTTATGTCTAAGGTTAAAGTTTTTTAAAAAGTGGATCAAATTCCAAGGCCAAGAGGTCAAAAATATGCAATCCATATGAAAAGTCTTGTCACAATGAATATATGTACATGTGAAGGATGAAAGCCCTAGCTCCAACGTTAACTGTTCAAAAGTTATAGCCAAGGTTAAAGTGAGGTATTTTTATATAAAAGTATGTCAAACTCCAAGATAAAGATGTCAGATTTGGTGGTATCCATGGAAAGGTCTTGTCACAAGGAATACATCTGTGAAGTATGAAAGCCATAGCCCCACCAATTCTATAGTTATGCGTTAGGTTAAAGTTGACAACAGACAGACAGAGAGACAAAGAAACAGACAGGACAAAAACAAAATATCCTAGGGATCTTTCAATTCGGGGCATGATCCGGGGGCTTTCTTCAATTTTACCGTCTCGACATTTGTCAGCCATATTGAATTTTGGTACAATTGCATGCACCTGTCCTGAACAGGATGTAGATGGTGTACACCTAATGTGTACAATTTATCATGGAAAAGTGTACACCGAGTGTAAGATGTTGACAAATCAAGCGCGCGCAAACATTTTTTCGACATATTAAAAAGTAAAATGGAAAAGAGTAGCCTCAATAAGACACGGAAAGCGCTTATATTAAATTTAATGGGGAATATTTGGGGGAGAGAGTAAACCAGTTTTATATCTACTTTGAGATATGTGATAGTAATTTTGCATAGATTAAGCTTATTTTTGGGGCCAAAATTGAGTAACATCAATGATGGGCAACGAAATGCATGTTCAGAGCGTATTGCTTTCCCAACATTACCTCAGATTTATAAACATAACTAATTACGTTAGGTATATCTATTTAAAAAAAATACATCCAATTGTTCATATTTTAATATTATTTTGTTTTAAAAAGTTTAACACAAAGCTGGTTCCATACTCTTGCATTTCATGTTTTCCGATCATCAGTCAGCATTGCTTCACTCGGAGTTCCTCGGATGGTTCGTATCTCGAACATAAACTCGAGGTTTGAATGGAGCGCATTCGGCAAATGGGGCATAGCGGAGTCAGCCGAAGATTGCCGATTGACATAGCTTAGACGTCATCATAATTATACGTTCCCCAAACGAAGTTGGGGAACATATTGTTTTTACTCTGTTTCTTATTATTATGTTCCCCAAACGAAGTTGGGGAACATATTGTTTTTACTCTGTTTCTTATTATTATTATTATTATTTTTCTTCTTCCTGGGAAAATTTTGTCCACGAATGATCTTGTAAACTACACATCCGACTTAGGTGAAACCTTTTTAGGGTTGGTAGGCATGTAATGTAGAGTTGCCGAACAAAGGTCATTTTGCGTGCACGTGCCTGCAAGAGCGAGCACGTGCAACACGTGAAATGACTAATATAATGTATATTGCCGTAACTTTTCTATTTTTTGATGAAATGTTTTGAAACTCATAATGTAAGGATATATTAGTAGCATAGACAATATGACATGGTCAAAATAGCAAGATCTCACGCGCATGCACGTGCACTTCACTCTATTGGCTGAAACTAAAGTCTCAATATCTTTCTTGTTTTTTTTATAAAATCCTTTGAAATTTTGAACTTAGTATTTTTTTTAATCATGATATATAAAAATTTCATTTTGAAAGAACGTTCATGCATGTGTGCTGGATCAAGAGCGCGCACGCGCAACATGTGAAATTACCAATATAAGGATGAACCTCATAACTTTTCTATTTCTTTTAAAATTTTTTGAAACTCGCAATGCATGATATATTAGTAGTATAGACAAGATGGCATGGTCAAAATAGCTACAGATAACACGCGCATGCAGGTGCGCTTTGCTTGATTGGCACAAATAAAAACAATATCTCTTGTTTCTTGTCATAATCTTTTGAAATTTTAAACGTAATCCTACATTATGAAGATCTACAGCATGATACATAAAAATATTCATGAAAGCATTCGCATGCGCGCGTGCTGCAACCTGATTGGCTGAAACTTTAAATGGCTGTATCTCCTTTGTTTAAAGACGAAATGCTTTGAAATTTAAAACATAGCCATGCATTAGGATATCCTAAAATATGATATAGAAAAAAATTCATGAAATCACGAGCATGCACGTGTGCTGTAATCTGATTGGCTGAAACTTTATATGGCTATATCTCCTTTGTTTTTTGACAAAATGTTTGGAATTTTAAAATATAGTCATTCATTTAGATATCCTTCAATACGATAAAGATAAAAAATTATGAAATCACGCGCATGCATGTGTGCTGCAATCTGATTGGCTGAAACTTTATATATATCCCTTGTTTTTCAACCAAACAGGATGGGATCATTCAGAACATAGATAAATATAAGGGACTCCTACAAGAAGGTGTAGTCATTATGCACGTGAAATGAGTAAAATTAAATTACTACTTAAATTAATACTTTTTGATTAAATGCTTTGATAATAAGCATATAAAAATTTTAGATAGTGTAGACAAGATGATATGGTCGTTACGCACATGAACACGTGTGCAATGCCTATTTTTAAATATATTTTGTATTTTTCTGGGAAGACCTTTTTTTAGTCTAAATTCCATAAAGTATTTCTTATTTGATAGAGATTACAGGGAATATGGCACCAAAAGGGAGTTGGGGAGCGTTTGGGGAAGGATAATTTTAACGGTCCCCGTTACAATTAGCACTAGTTATTATGTGTGTCCCCCGCTTGAAAAGTGGGGGATATTAATTTGGGTTTGTCATTTCGTTTTCCGTCCGTCCGTCCGTCCGTCTGTCCGTCTTTCTGTCTGTCTGGAACGCTTTCGTTTCCACACGATATCTCGAGAACCCTTTGAGCTTTTGCAATGAAATTTAGCATAGCAACTCCCTATGGACTAAAGAATACCCCTATTGATTTTGAGGTCAAAAGGTCAAAGGTCAAGGTCATAAATAAGCAAATTCTGTCTGTTAAAACACCTTCGTTTCCACACGATATTCTAGAACCATATATTGCAATGAAATTTTATATAACAACTCCCTGTGGCCTATTGAAGACCCCTATTGATTTTGAGGTCAAAAGGTCAAAGTTCAAGGTCGTAAATTTATACATTCTGTCTGTGTGTAATACTATTATTTCCGGGCGATATTTCAAGAATATTTTGAGCTTATGCAATGTAATTTTATATCAAAAGTCCCTAGGACGTCTCTCGCCCCTTTCAAAGTGTCCCGCCCCATTTGTTTTTATTAGTATTTATAGTATTACATGTCGCTATATTTAGCGCAGTGGCATGAGGAGAGTTTTTGCGTATAAAACAGGTTCTCGGCGGACTTTATGTTCTTATTACATCTATTAGAACTGTTTAATAAAGGCTAAATAAATCAAACACCATGGATTGTGTAAAAGAGAATAGAACATGAAAACATGAATATATACATGTATGTGACTTCAGTTCTGCATATACCTCGCGCTATGTAAAGCGATTCCGTGGTCTAGTGGTTATGCCTCTCGCTTCATGTGTAAGAGACTATAGAAGAAAACCTTTCGTTTTTTTTTTGTTTATTTTAATACTTTTTTTTTTACTAAATGATAGTATTCAGCATGTGAAATGAAAAATTTATGAGGCTATAAAATCATCATTACAGTGTGATAAAAATTACATATAAAAAAATTTTTATACACATAATGAAGTATAAGCAATCAAATCTTTATATGCATATTGACATACATGTATTTTTTTGCTTCAGTATACATGTATACATTTAATAATTCTACAAATTCAGTCAGGGGGAGCCGACTTTTTCCCTAAGCGGGGGACACGAATTCTCTGAATTAGCTTGTTATTATTATTTTTCTTCTTCCTGGGAAAATTTTGTCCACGAGTGATCTTGTAAACTACACAGCCGACTTAGGTGAAACCTTTTTAGGGTTAGTAGGCATGTTATGTAGAGTTGCCAAACAAAGGTCATTTTGCGCGCAAGTGCTTGCAAGAGCGCGCACGTGCAAAGGTGAAATTACCAATATAATGGATATTGCCGTAACTTTTCTATTTTTTGATGAAATTTTTTGAAACTCATAATGTAAGGATACATTAGTAGTATAAACAAGATAGCATGGTCAAAATAGCAAGATCTCACGCGCATGCACGTGCACTTCGCTCTGATTGGCTGAAATTAAAGTCTCAATAACTTTCTTGTTTCTTGTCATAATCCTTTGAAATTTTGAACATAGTCCTACATTATGAAGATCTACCGCATGATATAATAAGAATTTTCATGAAAGCATGCGCATGTGCGCGTCCTGCAAGCTGATTGGCTGAAACTGTAAATGGCAATATCTCCTTTGTTTTTTGACGAAATTCTTTGAAATTTAAAATATAGTCATGCATAAGGATATCCTACAAAATGATATAGAAAAAAAATCATGAAATCACGCGCATGCACGTGTGCTGCAATCTGATTGGCTGAAACTTTAAATGGCTATTTCTTCTTTGTTTTTTGAAAAATTCTTTGAAATTTAAAATATAGTCATGCATTAGGATATCCTACGAAATGATATAGAAAAAAAATCATGAAATCACGCGCATGCACGTGTGCTGCAATCTGATTGGCTGAAACTTTAAATTGCTATATCTCCTTTTTTTTTTTTGACGAAATTTTTTGAAATTTAAAATATAGCCATGCATTAGAATATCCTACAAAATGATATAAAAAAATCATTAAATTACGTGCATGCACATGTGCTGCAATCTGATTTGTGAAACTTTAAATGGCTATAACTCCCTTGTTTTTCAACCAAACAGGATGGGATTTAGAACATAGATAGATGTAAGGGACTCCTACAAGAAGGTATGATCATCATGCACGTGCATTTGAAACGAGTATATTTAAAAATACTCTTGAATGAGTGATTTTTATTACTTTTGGACTGAATGCTTTAATATATAGTATATTAAAATATATAAATAGTGTAGACAAGATGATATGGTCATAACGCACATGCATTCACATGCGCTTGGGTGCAATGCTAAAAATTGAATATAATTGGTATCCTTCTGGGAAAGCGTTGTAAAAGTCAAAAATGCACAGAGTTTGTTCTTATTTAATGAAGCTTACAGGGAACATGGCACCGAAAGGGAGTTGGGGAGCGTTTGGGGAACATCTGTAACGGTTCCCGTTACAATTAGCACTAGTTATACGTTACAATCATGGTGGCGTCTTTGTATTGTGACGTCACAATAACTTATACCTTCACAACGGAGGCAAAACACTGAAGTCGTGAGCAGTGAAACCATTATGGTAATCTAGAAATTTGGTTATTTCATTTGCACTCGATTTAAATCCTTTCTACAATTAACATGTTAATTATTGGATTGCTTATTTTTTTATGATTCACAGGAACATAAGTACAAGAAGAGTAAGGAATATTTTGGAAGTTTGGGAGATTCAGAAAGTGATTGGGTAGACAATACCAGGTCAGAATTCAAAGACGGTACAGAATACCTAGAATGGTTGGAGCGACAACTTCCATATATAGAGGTATAGGAAAATGCATATTTCATTGTGCCTATATAAAACGAACCTTAAACGTTACATTTTTTAAAAATGACTGAGTGATTTTGATGCGTTTATTTTTTTTAAATCATGATTATATTAAAATTTCATTTTTAAAGGAATTTGAAGCTAGTGATGCGGATCATTACTACTTTTTTCGGAGCTGGAGCAAACAAAGATCATACTTCCCTGAGATGGAACCTTTAATTGTAAGTTATTTTCTTGTCATTTTAAAATTTATTCGATGCCTACATGTATTTCTCAATACAAGCCAGATATCCAGTGAATAAACCTACACTAACACCGTAGAGAAATATATCAGATTTTTGTGCACAAATAAAAACAAATCTCTCGTTTATTTTAAAGGAAATTGAAGAGGAAGAGAGTATAAGTTTGACACATGACTATGCTGATGGAGCAGTGAAGGAAACTGAAAAGGTGTGGGAAAATGGAACAAAGCCAGAATTCAAAGACGGGAGGCAACTCGTGGAATGGCTCGAAAGAAAGTTGTCATATCTGGAGGTACTTAAAATTACAAAAACACATCTATAAGGTGACATCATAATTAAATAAATCATGGCCACATTTTTACTTATATTTTATTTTTAGCCATTTGCTCCAGAAGACGCTGTGCATTACTATTTCAACAGACAGTGGAGTCGGCAAAAATCTGAACTTAAACTCGAAGTGTTAGTTGTAAATGTACATACATACATGTATCTTTATATATATTTTTGTTTTAGCTATTCTTGAGTATTGGAGTAAATTCGGTTGGAGATTTACTTCAAGAAGTTTAATGTCCATGTAAACAATTTTGTCGTTTTTATTGAAGGAAGACGACCATGAGAACGAGAATGAAAATATAGACCACTTCAATCATGGAGATGACAAAAGCTTGAAGGTGAGTTCGCATTTTTATTTGAAATTCATTTTACTATACTTTATGAATTAATTTACAATGTACATGTGTATATAAAATCAGTATTCAGTTCATTGTTTGCAGTTTTAAGCATTTCTGTTTTTTTAATCAAAAAAAAAAAAATTCTCTCATTTTTAGAACAAAGATGACAGAAATCCTTATATCAAAATGATGGCTAGTCCTTTGGTTCTGGAAGGATTTAATTTTAAGGTATAAATAATGAACTGATTGTCTTAAACTTCAACGTGTGTCTTACCAGTAATTTAAAGGTCATTCTTAAAACAAGAGGCCCAGGGGCCACATCGCTCACCTGAGCAATTCAGGCTTGACTTTACTGGGGGGGGGGGGGGGGGGGGCTGTGTGAATTACTTTCACCCCCCAGGGGGTCATGATTTGAACAAACTTGAATCTACACTACCTGAGGATGATCCCACATGAGTTCAATCTTTCCTGGCCCAGTGGTACTTGAGAAGAAGATTTTTAAAGATTTTTCCTATATATTCCTATGTAAAACTTTGATCGGCCATTTTGGCCCCACCCTGCCTCCGGGGGTCATGATTTGAACAAATTTGAATCTACACTACCTAAGGATGATCCCACATGAGTTTCATCTTTCCTGGCCCAGTGGTACTTGAGAAGAAGATTTTTAAAGATTTTTCCTATATATTCCTATGTAAAAATTTGATCGGCCATTTTGGCCCCACCCTGCCTCCGGGGGTCATAATTTGAACAAATTTGAATCTACACCACCTGAGGATGATCCCACATGAGTTTCATCTTTCCTGGCCCAGTGGTACTTGAGAAGAAGATTTTTCCTATATATTCCTATGTAAAACTTTGATCGGCCATTTTGGCCCCACCCTTCCCCCAGGGGTCATGATTTGAACAAACTTGAATCTACACAACCTGAGGATGATCCCACATGAGTTTCATCTTTCCTGGCCCAGTGGTACTTGAGAAGAAGATTTTTAAAGATTTTTCCTATATATTCCTATGTAAAAAATTTGATCGGCCATTTTGGCCCCACCCTTCCCCCCCAGGGGGTCATGATTTGAACAAATTTGAATCTACACTACCTGAGGATAATTCCACATGAGTTTCATCTTTCCTGGCACAGTGGTACTTGAGAAGAAGATTTTTAAAGTTTTTTCCCATATATTCCTATGTAAAACTTTGATCGGCCATTTTGGCCCCACCCTACCCCCGGGGTCCATGATTTGAACAAAATTGAATCTACACCACCTGAGGATGATCCCACATGAGTTTCATCTTTCCTAGCCCAGTGGTACTTGAGAAGATTTTTTGAAAATGCCATTAATTTTTCTCTAATTCATAATTATCTCCCCTTGGAAAAGGGCCTGGCCCTTCATTTGAACAAACTTGAATCCCCTTTACCCAAGGATACTTTGTACCAAGTTTGGTTGAAATTGGCCCAGTGGTTCTTGAGAAGAAGATGAAAATGTGAAAAGTTTACGACGACAACAACGACAACAACGACAACGCCGACAGACAACGGACAAATTTTGATCAGAAAAGCTCACTTGAGCCTTCGGCTCAGGTGAGCTAAAAATTATTTCTTTTCCTCTAGAAATCTGAGCCACATGGAGATGACACTGCAAAGAATGCTACCAAGGAGAAGGATACACCTAAGATGCAGTTTACGAATGGATGCGATTCTCTGATTGGTGAACTAATGGTAATATATTACATTTATATTCAGAGTGGATAGATATTTCAGTGGTCACTGGTGCACAGTGAAGCATATCCGCCCCTCAGCCAGAAAGAATCCTTTTTAATACTAATTTATATAGATATATTTAACTTTTTAAAAAAAACCATAAGCTTAAAATTGAAATCTTTTCATGTAGGAATTTTCATTTCAAGGTTTTACCAATCAATCCTTTTCAAAATTATGGCATAAAAGAAATTTTGGTAATATTTTTTCACCCGTTAATAATTTTTTCGTACCATTTTTAGTTGAGCGGTGTCAAGATAGCAAAAATCCAATCCAAGCTTCACCCACTTCTACAGAAGAAAGTAAGTTGTATTGTTCAATATATTATATCAAATGACATCATAAATAAACGTATGTCGTTACTGAAAGAAACAGTCTTTTTGTTAAGACTGAAATATTTGTTGTTACCTATTGTTAAGATTATATTTACATTTGCAAATGTTTTCCTTTATATAACACTACTGAAAGCAAGCGTTTTTATAACTGTGTAAATACAGGTATGGGGTCAAGAGGTCATAGATGTGCGTTTGGATAAACGTTCGACGTAATTTCTCTGTGACGTCATAAAGGATCGACGCGCGTTTAGTGGATTACATACATGCCGTTGGGTTTGAAAAATTAACGTATTTCACACGTTAAAAGTAACAATCAGGCAAATATAAAGTATGAATAAGTCACAAATGTAAATATAAGTAATAAGGTATCATTTTTTGAGTTTTATTGAGATGTAAATTCGGGTTGGCACTGGGATCAAATCTTCCATAAAGACCTTCGGGCTTTATGGGATTTGATCACGTGACCAACCCGTTTTACATCTCAATAAAACTCAAAAAATGATACCTTATTTCTTAAATAACAACGTGCTTTTATTATTTCAGAATAAGGAGAAGAGAGATCATTTCACAGAAGAGAAGAAGAAAGCGAAGACAGAGACTAAGAAGACGATGTTTTCATTTTTTCGTCATGTGTTTGGTTGATGCCTGAGACATCTGTAAAACAAACTATAGACAGAGAATTGTTGAATTATATATAACATTTTTGAATTTTTGTAATACATATCACCTGATTGAACATAAAAAATATATTTCTGTAGAATGATGCATTTGTTATTATAATTGATTACATTTTAAATTTTTATGGTTAAACAAGATGTGTTTGTGAAACACTGATGCCCCCGTATGGCAACATGGCGAAGGTTATTTTTTTTTCAAATGTAAATCAAATATGTTGATATCCAAAGTAAGGCCTTCTCACAAGAAATACAAATGTGAAATATAAAACCCTAGCACGAACTGTTCAAAAGGTATGGCCGAAGTTAGCGTTTTTAAGGTAGGTCAAACTCTTGGGTCAAGTTCAAAGTTGTCGGTATCCAATTAAAGGTCTTGTCACAAGGATTACGTATGGGAAGTATGAAGGCCCTAGCCCTATACCGTTCAAAAGTTATTCCAAGGTTAAAGTTTTAAAAATGTAGGTCAAAATCCAAGGTCAAAGGGTCAAAGTTGTTGGTATCCAATGGAGGGTTTGTTACAAAGAATACATATGTATAAGTATAAAAGTCCTAGCACTAATCGTTCAAAAGATATGGCCAAAGTAATAGTTTGGAATTTTGGTGTATCTCTTGAAGATTGGGGTGGGGGGGGTATGGTTTCTTTAAATTTAACCTTGCCCAATACTTTTGACTGGGTGGGGCTATGGCTTTCATATTCCTCAGGTGTATTCCTTTTGGCAAAATCTTTCTATGAGTACCATCAAATTTGACCTCTTGAATGAACTTGACCTTGGTGTTTGACCCGCTTTTACAAAACAAAAACAAACAAATAAAAAAATTGATATAACTTTGGATATATTTTTTGAAAAGTTAGTACCAGGACTTTCATATTTCACATGTGTATTCATTGTGAAAATATCTTCCTCTTGATGCCAACAATTCTGACCTTGTATCCTGTATGACTTATACATTATAGAAACTTCAGCATTCGCCATAAGCTGCCATACGAGAGCATCAGTGCTTTAAAAACACATCGTGTTATGAGACACAAAAACTTACCAATTTTAATTAAATACAGTTACTTGAATTCCTAGTCGAACATTCAGGACTACATTTCTACACCAGATACATGTATCATGTCTCCAGTTCTTGTAGGTTTTGTTAAGTTTTAAAACTAAAAGTAAAGCAGAAGATATTTAATTAATATCGAAACATAGGAATGATAGACTAAGAATTCGTGTATTTTTGCTAAGTAATTTTGTTTCTAATAAAATTTCTCAGAAGCTGGTGTATCGGGAGTTACACCATCCATTAGTCAGGTGCCTGTGACATACAGATGTGTTCCAAGAGTGAAGATACACAGTAGTTTTATTTTTTTTTTCGCTATAAAATGTGAAGTTATCTTTTTTTTTAATGTTGACTATATTGCGAGTGTGTTTAGTTTTCAATCAGTGAAGTATTATACAGAGAAAATAAAATTATCTTCACTATTGACACACATCTGTATTTAAGTGAATATTACTTATTGTACATAAAAATATCAGTTGAAATATTTGCAGCTACCAATTTAGTCTGTCATGGATTTATTGAGACAATTTTTGCACAACATTCAACCATTATTATTATATCCCTCGAATGTGACATCGTACGATGCTTGCAAACCAACTTCCGGAAGTTATGAACCACATGCGAAGCTGAAGGGTTATCCCGCGTTTCTGTCTGCAATTTTGTGCAAGGTTCCTGACCAGAAAAATGTAAGTTTTCACTATAAATATGAAGTTAAGACACAGTTTAATTAACTGGTTTCGATGCTAAAGAATGCAATTTTGTGCAAGCTTTTGTCCAATGTTTTGGTTCAGTGGTTGTAAAGGGGGTAGAACAGGTTGGGCACACACCGCCAAATGGTCATTTAACCCCCGTTTGGTGGTCATTCGCCCATATCGGCGTCTTTATTAACCACTAAATGGGAGAGAAAAATCGTTCTGTTCAGTTCTCTGGAATGACGTGAAATGGCGCATAATTTCAACTCACGGGGATTAAATATAGATATTTATCTGTACTCTGAACGAAAAAAATTAAAATTTCAACGCGGACATTTTTGCGCAGTGTCGTTCAAATAATTGACAAAATCGTCACCTATGTAAACAAATGTAATGTTTCTCTGTTTTAACTTTAAAAGAAAAATTCCCTCCGTCTCGAAAAGCGTAGTTGAGCCTATCAATCGTGTTGATATGTTCATATTTCTGTCATCCGGGCAAACGATCAATTATCTAAACCAATCAAAAATGACGATCTTTTCCAAACTTGGGTCAAAAGACTGAATTAACTACGGCATTTTTAAATGTTAATTTTCAAAAAGTAAAATAAGAGGAATGGTAAGAATTCGCTTTTATTTAGTTTATTTCGTAAGCAATGGCTTTATTCTTTATGAAAATGCTATATGCAGTGAATTCATGTTAAAATAATCACTCGAAAACCATAATCTTGGAATAAAAACAGGAATAACTGCAAATGTCACTTTGTAAATCTTTTATTCAAAAATATTTAATAAATATAGTAGATACAACATAGATATGCATACTAAACCACAAAGGGTCGCACAGAAATCGTAACTTCATCCTAAAAGAAAATAAAGAATAAATGTTACATTCAAATGTAGGAAAAATGAATATTATAGCACCAAGTGCCCACCATACGAATAAGATTTGACACACAGCTCGTTTTTAACGGGATTTTATAAAGATTTGTATAAAAAAGATCGTTTGAAAAGTTACTTCTCTAGACTAACACCTCTTGCTTAAATGTTTTTTTTACCGAACTATACACAACCAAAATAATTTTTTGTATTGTTTGAGCTAATAGTTCGGCCGTCACGAACAGCTGTGGGTTTCGTTTTTACGAAGTTCCACAGAAATTCCACATGGAAAATTGACTAAATTGTATTAAATGTGCGATGAATATGTTAATTAAAATTCCCCAATGCCTAAGTAAATGCGCTTTTGCTTTATTTCAATGAAAATTAGATTTGAATAAAAAAGACCACCATTTGGTAGGTAAAAAAGACGCTGATATGGGCGATTGACCACCGAACGGGGGTTAAATGACCATTTGGGGGTGTGTGCCCAACCTGTAGAAGGGGGTAGATGATCATTGTTTTGCGGATTACATGATGCTACTTCTACAATTATCAAAGGGATATTTACTAGTTACTTTAATTGTTTGATTAATTTTTTTACCCCTGGGGCTAGTGATTAAATTGCTGCCAATAGACCATGCAGATTTTGGACAAGTAATCTAGTATAAAAGTGGTAGTGCTTAGCTATTTGAATTACTCACATCTGACATTATAATTAATTATATTCGGCAGAGGTTCCAAATTTCACCTACCTTTGATCTTTTTGATTCATTAGATAAAAAAAAAAAAACGCGAATAAGTTCGATTTGTAAATCAATTCCAATGAGCCTCAGAGGGCAGAATTACTGCAATGCTACAAAATTCTGTCCAGTTGGGCTAAGGCAAAAATTATCTTTATATACTAGAAAATGTTAAAGTATGTTACTTAACAATTTTAGTTTTTAATCTGATCATAACTTAAAGGATGAGCATCACTAACTAGGAAACATAGTGCTCATTATTTTACCCCCCCCCCCCCCCCCCCTTGAGGTATTTCACCCCCAGACCTATAGATAGTTTTCGATGGGCCTAAATTTAACTCCCGTTGGTCGCCATACTGGAGGTCGACTTGGTTAGTTTTCCTTTTCGTCTTACCAAGTTTAAGAATATATAGCAGAAATATTCGGTGGAAAATCTTGATTAAGTAATTTTTTTAAAGTAAAGGAGGCTTCCAAAAATTTATGTATTTCAGAAAAATAATGATTCCTAATTCAAATTAACAAATATTAAAATTTAAAATTGGTTGAACAATGATGAAATATGAGCATTTGGACCTCCAGTATGGTGACCAACGGGAAATAACTGTGACAATTTACCAGAGGGAGAGAGAGAGTTTTTCCATATCAACATATCTGTCATATAAACTTAAAGGTCACAGTAAAAGCCTGACACCAAAAACAGCCAAGAGGTTCTATTATAGGAGAAAATCAATTAATTATGATTTTCCCCGAGGAAATACACAATATTGGACATGTAGCTTATCTTAAACCTGACACCTTTATTAAAAAGAATTAATATGCTGTGCCACCAGTGTGCAAATATGTGGACTTTGAGGAGGTGGTAAAAAACATAAATTTTGCTCTTGACACTTTTTGATATTACTGTTGGAACTAATGGAATGAAAATTGACATACTTGCCAACCTCCAGCATGTAAAAATCTAGTCATGACCAGATTTAGAAAGTAAAAAATCTGGTCATAACGCGTAACGACATTCACGACGTTTACCATGATTAAATTTTATACATATATATACAAAGTATTTGTGTATTGAGAATTCTTTTATTGAAAAAGGATTTAATTTACTATGACAAAAAATTCATACATAATTTGATTTAATTTATATGTTAAAAATGAGAACTGAAGGTTCATATTTTAGTATTGACCTGAAGTAAGTGTGCATTTTTTTAAAAAAGCCTTTTCAGTTTCTGCTAAATTTGAAAGTATACCAATTTCAGTTTTGAAGTTATTTTTCCTCTCTCTTAATTAATTAACTACTGCAATATGTTTTAAATGTGAAGTTAGGCCTACACTGTCTTCGATCACTTTATTTTATCTAGAATGAAAGTTTTTTTTCCCCAAGATTCCTTGATATGTACATAAATATCATTTCTCTTTTTCTTGGTTCAATCAGAGACATGTGTTTGGTTCAATTTGTTCCGGTTGACCCTGATAACGATCTAGTTCTATCGGAAGCCATTTTAATTGACTTCAAACATTGACTGTCAAAACAACACCCAGTTAATTGTTTACACCTGCACTGATAATTAATCCATCGGCATTGTTCACGTAGATCTAAGCTTGGGTTGTAACTGGAAATTAAAAATGCAACCTAATTTACGAACCAAATCCGGAAATCGGGAGATTTTCGGGTTGTTCAGCAAAAATCGGGTGATAAGCATGACCCGCCGGGTCATAAAAAATAATTGGGTTACGGGTTGAAAAATCGGGTGTGACCCGACGAAATCGGGTGAGTTGGCAATTATGAAAATTGACCTCCAGCCCCCTGACCCCACCCTTCTCAATTTTTTTAAAAAGAGAATTTACGTGTTACTGAAAGATATATCTCCTCCGGTAAGTGAATTAGGATCTTTAAAAAAAAAACCAAACCAAAAAATACGTGTGGTTCGGGTCTAACAATGCCAAATAAAAACCAAGTTCTCTACTTTATTTACCTGGTAGTACCAGTATGCCTGTCACCACAGTACCAGACCAAGTGAAGAAGAACATCAGAGCGGTGCTCCTGTCCAAGGTGGGTGGGGTGTTGGTCAGTGACCTAATTAAGGACTACAAAAGCCTCCTGAAGGAGCCCCTCCGATTCAAAGACCTAGGTTTCTCCTCCATCAAGGAATTTGTCGACGCCATCCCTGATGTTTGTAGGTCAGTGCATTTTATGACACAAAAATCGCTGATGGAAATTTTTCTAACAAATCAAATCCTTGAATTGATCTACTGTTCCACAGTAAATGAATTCGTAACAAATGTTGAGTGAATGCTGTGGGAATGATGAATGGTAAGTAAGGAAAACTGCTTATGAACAGGAGAATTTTTTTTTTAGAAAACTATGGTAATTTTCATTATTAAAAAAAAAGAATTGTATTTTAGGCTGTATTTTTCATAATTCGTAAAACTTCTGAATACATCTACATTTCTATGGGTGCATTGTATTTCAGGTTGGAGTATGATGAGGGAATCATGGCACACAAGCTTTACGGCATTGGAGACAAATCGTCCTACATGTCCCTCAGTCAGAAAAGAGCGGAAAAGTCCAAGCCAAGTAAATCTTCATATCAATTTAAAGTCAGAAGTAAAGACTCTTTTAAACCCAAAAAGTGTGCATTAACTTATATTCTACTTTCAAAGAGTAGATAAACAGTTATTTGATGTATTTTGGCAAGATTATGAGTTGTGATATTCTATTTTCTTGTTGTATGGATAGGTTCTAGCAGTGCACAAGGTATTTTGCTAAAAACATTTGATGGAGATACAGTGAAACTCATCTTATCTGGATGTACAATACAATTATTTTAAAGAGCAGGCTTCATATTTTAGCGGCTTTGGTGCAATGAATGATGCACTAATTTAAGAATACCATTAAGAAATCTTTAATAAATGTAATACACAGTATAGAAATGTGTAGCCCTGGTTCGTGATTAAGCCAACAACTCCACATCCATGGATTGCGCTAAATTTTGAATATGCTTAGTTATGTACATGTACAGTTACTTTATAAGTCTAAAGACATTTCAGTAAATTCAATTTGATATTTAAAATGTTGTCAAAGCTGGCCCTTTTTTTTTGGAACCTTTGTTATTATTAAACACAAAATTTTTATAAAATTTGATGGATGTTTTGTCATTTTGCATGAAATAAGAAAGAGAAAGCTAATCAATAATGTGAAATCATTTTCTAACATGTTTGAAAAATCAATTTTCGCAAAATGTTTTGTGCATGATAATTAAATTATAAAATGTTTACAGAGCAGTGCTTTGAATTCACTCCTTAAAATGAAAGAACTTTTTTCTGCTTTATCAATAGGCATGGGTTCTAATTCAAGAAACAATGGTAATACAGGTGCTAGACGTGAAACCCGTGAAACGGACGCAGAGTTACTGCCCAACAGCAAGGGATTGTTTACTCTGTGTTATCCTAGGAACAAAGAGCCAAAGGGATTCAGTGAAACGGTAAAACTGATGCAGGAACACTTAGTATCTTGGAAAAGTAGTCTTCTTTCCATCTATCATTCTATTAATGGCACTTATGTTAATATGAATTTCCTTTTCCCACAAATTATACTAAAAACTTAACTCTTTTAGGACATACATCAGAAGTTTGAGGAGTTTGGAAACCTACAAGAAATTCATACCATTCCAGGGTAAACGTAAAATTCATAATTTTTCACTAATCAAGATTTTAAATTGAGTCTTTCAGTTTTTAAAAAAAAATTTAAAGTACTTTAGATCACTAAATGACTGTTTTTTAGCGAGACATAATTTTCACAAATTGTTATTTCTCTATAATCTTACGGAATACTATTATACAAAAGAATGAAGTTTTTGTGAGCTCACGCGAAAATAAAGTTCTCGCAAATTAAAAGTGATCTACAGTGATATGTAATGTTTGTTTCAGTTGAATGAAATTTTTCTCTATTAATCATGGTATTATTTTTTTTATTATTTGAATTAAATCACTGTCATTGAATTTTTTAATTGCTTCATATTTGACAGGCTGTTTTTCCTGCGGTTTTCGGATATTGACTCTGCACAGGCAGCCTTAGACTCATACAGGGAAGAGTTGGAGCTTCGCCCAGCTTCAGAAAAAACCAAAAATCGCAGCTACGTTAACAAAGACAGGGGAAATATGCAGGAGAAAACATCAGCCAACAGAACTTCTCCTTCTACTTCTACCGGTAAGTGGCCTCTGTCAAAAAGCTGACTATTATAATTTTGTAATGTGTCACACAGTTAACAAATGTTTGTTATGGTCTGAAAATATAAGGAGCAAAACAATAGCAGTTTTGCTTATCCAAATTTTTTGAAAATTTATTTAACTTCTAATATCTTACTTTTCTGTTTCTCAGGATGAGTATTTAGTTTAACTTTATTAAAGGTTCCTAATGAACTCTTATTGTGATAATTAATGGTTGAGTTGTATACAGATTATTAAATGAATGGAGAATCTTTTATTATGAGTGCTTGGAGCACACAAGTGAGAATGGAACACCCACTCATGAAATAAAACAATGTAACTCGAATGCCAGTAGATGACTGATATGTTGCATATTTCAAAGAATCCAAACTCATAATTTTTTTTTAATTAAAAAAAATCAAACTTTTGAAAGCATCTGGATGGAGTGACTGTGCTATATTACTCTTTTTGTTACAGATGATGCCCCTCCCACCTCAGCTACAGATAACGTAGAAGTTTTTATCGGAAACATCCCTTTTGAGTCTGACCATGTAAACACATACTTTTCTTTTTTTTTTTTGCAAAACTTTTTCTGATTTGAACTGTAGGAAACACTTATTAAAAGTGAGCTTCACAACTTTTGATCAACAAAGTTTTGTTTTTGTTTTTATAGGATGCTTTTAAGGAAGATGTCCTTTCTCAATACGGACCTTACGAAATCCGAATAAAAACTGGAAAAGGAAATGATAATAGAAAAATGTATGTACATGTATTTGCCAGAATATTTTTTTGTTGTGTATGATTTAGAAGATGAATGTAAGGGCTATAAACTGTAAAAGATTTATGGTCCCTAAATGTGAATTCCCTAAATTCTTTTTGGAAAAGGGTAAAAAATGTGGTATTCCCCCTCCCTCCAAGAAATGTTTCTGTTTATGCATTTCCCTTGTAGATTTGCCTTTGTCAAATTTTATGGGAAGGACTGAAGAGATCCCCCTCCTCACCGCGATGCTAGGAAACGAACAGGGTAAAGGCTTATCCTCATTAGGGCCCGGCAAGGATTTGCGGGTGCCCTAGTAATCACGACTCTTGTCCACAAATTTTCTGTTTTTTTTTAACTTTTTTTTATAGTTACCAAATTTGGTATGGGAGGAAATACATATTTTGATGCTAAGTTTGCTTCTCTATGTCTTCTGGTTTGGAGCTGGGGTGGTGGGGTAAATTTTAACTATGCATAAGAATGAATGGGCAACTTTTTTTATGGTTGCCCAATCAAGTACAAATTTGGTATGGTAGTTCCAGAAATACATATTTTTATGCTAAGTTTGGTTCTCATGTCCCCTGGTTTGGAGCTGGGGTGGTGGGGTAGATTCCTTAACTTTATATACAAAAGCAGTGGCAAAGAGAGATAACTGCTGAAGATGTTGCCATTGTAAACTGAATGCTTCTATGAGTCCCTTGGGATTAATTAGCTTTCCTCCTGAAGAAAATCCAGAGCATTATCTTTATCTGTCAAATTGAGATGAATTACCACCTCTGTCTGCAAATGAAGTTTGTTTTGAAGTTAAGTCAATTTGAAATGCTATGAACATCTGAAATGTGGATTTAAATATGAATATTTATAATTTATTTTTGTTTAAAAGTTATGATTTCTGATAATAACAAGAAATAGATTAAAGAAGATTTTTTGATAATTTTCGCATTAATACTGAAAAAGTTCTTATTGTAACTTAAGAAGAAAATGATGAGAGAGAAAATTAGAAGTGTGTTTAGTAGGCTTATCTTTATCTGTCACTTTAAGATTAATGAAAGAACTGCTGTTTGTTTGAAGAAAAGCCTTCATGATAATTGCATTCATTGAAGGCTGGCATTTTATATAACACATTCTTAATAATCATGATAATTGTTTAAATATACATTCAATGTTAAGTTGTTCTTTACTGCCTAATGTAAATACAAGGATATTATTTTCAGGTTCTTGAATATTCAGGTTGAAATTTTAAGAATAAGTTGCTGTTTTATTCTTCGTACATTTTTTTATCATAGCACCCTATTAATTCAATTTGACAGTTTTCTAGTTTTCGCTAGATCAAAAAAATAGAAGTGTGTTTAATAGAGAAAAGAAAATCAGTGGTAGACTTAAATAAATGTTTCAGATCTTTGGTGTTGGAAAATTTTACGATATAGCAATTTGACTTCTTGTATCTGTAATGCTGGTCCCCTTTGTTTCGTAATATTGAAAATTTTTATGCAAGTTTTATAAGTGGTCTAATTTTCCCTATCAACAGATGGATCAGGGAGTAAGGGTCCCTCACCGAATACCATTAAAAGCCGAGTGGAGCAGCCAGAACCAGCTTTTGATGAGGAAGAAGAGAAGTGGGACGAAGTTACAGAGAGTGATGGCACCACCTCGGTGTGGGGGAAGATACCACGCGAACCCATCACATCCCCAGCACCACCCCAACCCACTGATATAATGAGTGAACAAATCCTGCAGGACGAGAAACCTCCAGTGAGCACAATGGAGGAGCTTCACATTGACACAGGATTCCATGTTAATACAGATTTCAGCATCGCAAAAGAGAAAACTAGTCCCGCTCTGTCTGTCCAGAGTCGCAGAAGTGGAGGAAGTCAAAGGTCAAGGTCAGAATATATGTCACAGTCTAAATCAGTCCTCATGGGAACCAACCTTGAGCCCCTCCCAAATAAGAAATTTTCAGGAGGGTATCCCAGGCCAGATAATAAATTTGATGACATGCCAAGTCTGGAGCCAGCAGGAGGTGGGATGTTTCCTCCACCACTGCAACCGGTCGGAAATGGGAGATACCCTGCTCCCCATTGGCAGAACGGAGGGGAGATGTATCCCCCACCATTACAACGAGCAGAGTATGGGGCGTATGGTCATCCCCCACCCCTTCAAACTAATCAGCAGGAACCACAGCTCTTTGTCAGTAATTTTCCTTACGGAGATAGTGACGTAAGTTTGATAAAGTTACATTTCAATTAAATGCATCTAAGCATATCATATTTGAAGTAAATATTTAGTAATGTTGAAGCCCTTCTAGTCCTTTGTGAAGGAATAAATGCGACTGAATTGATGATGGTTTTATTTTGGTTAATTCTAAGATGCAGACTTAGTTTTATTGAATATTAAGCTGGCACTTTAATTTTTTTTTAATTAATTAACGGAATAAGGTTTTATTTGCTTTGAAATCTTGAGTGGGGACAGAGTTTTTCATTGAATATTACGTTGTCTCTATGTGATGGTGATGTGTCAGTAAAATTCAGTCTCTTTTCTGAAGGAGGAGTTGCTGAACCTTTTCTCTCAGTATGGTGCTTACGATATCCACATGATGAACAGGAATGATCCAAAAGTCAGGTAAGAAATGGAGCAAAAAGCCCCAAGTTGATATTTGCTTTGGTCTAACTGTCACCTAAGTCAATTGGTAAGAGACTGCAGTAACACACACTACGATTAGTCAGCTTAATGCAACGACCATTGGCTAAGTCTGAAAATACTTTCAAACCTAGAAAAAAGTTGGCTTTCAATTGTAATGTGGAGAATTACTCTGCCCATGCAAATTTCATGAAATGAAAAAAAAAAGTAAAATTTGATTTTTTCTTCAAAGTTACATTAAAGTTGAAGTAGAAAGACACCATCTTGATTTTTATGTAAATGTGTGAATATTCTGTAAATGTTTTTGTAAGAATCAATAGGATTTTGTGCAAGAATTTTTTAACTGAAGAATCCCCAAAATACAATCTTTAGTGCTTTTCATGAATGCTTTTGTACAAGACAGAATTGAAGATTTTACAGAAGCATCTTCACTTACGGTGATCTTGACCTGATTTTGAATTTTAATTGCTAGCTTATGTATTTTCTACCATTTGGTAATGAGTAAGGTAAAAATTTGATGAGGGAAAAAAAAAGGCATTGAATTAGAAAAAAGGGAATTTTCTGTCATGTCAAACAAATGAAATTTTGGTACACTAAAAAACACTGTTATTGGAGAGTTAGTACCAGGGTGTGTTTTCAGCACATGTGCCATTCTTTAATAAATAAGTTTTAAGCTTTGATGTGTTTTCAGCACTCGTGCCATGATTTACGTGTCCAACATGGAAGAAGCAGACAGGGCCGTCATGGAATTAAATCAGATGATCTACAAAGGGAGGCGACTCCTGGTGAACATATCCAAGTACCTTGGCAATAACCCTGTCAATTTCCTCTCGTCATACCACGAAATGGAGAATATCAAATGTACTGTCACGTGTAATGGTAAGAAACTACTTTTTCTCTGTCGGATATACCTTTGAAAAATCATTGAAAATCATGTGACAAATGAAGAAAAAAATTATGAATTTAAGGCTATCTAAATTTAATTCCCTGGTTCGCAGGCCAATTTTCTCCAAAACAGATGCGGGAGGGCGGCATTTTATTTTTCATTTTATTGGCAACAAAGTAGATGAGGGAGGTATTTTTTTTTAATTTTAATTTCCGAATTTTCTTTAACATAAAGATAATTTTTTTAATCACAGATATACTTTCCATTTCTAGTCAAAATTTCTGCTTTATCCATTGCTTAACAGCGTGTAAACATCGTAGGTAATGTCCTCGAATGTATTTTCAAACGAAGTAGCCAAAATCTCATTGTAAATGGCTACCGGAAGTGGTATTTGAATACTAAACTACGAAACAAATGAGGTCGGAAATTTTTTTCCCGGATTGGTCTCCGCAATACCAACTTTTTATTTTATCAAAATTACAATAAAATCGGCAGTGCGGCTACCTCAAAATGGATGCGCGCGGGCCTGAGAACCAAGATTTCAATTTTATATGGCCTAATCTTCCTTATTCTATTGTAGAAGGGAGAAAAGCAAAAGTGGATAAACTTCCAGGACCAGGTAAGTTTGAAAAATAAAAAAAAAATGAAATACATACTTCATTCTTTACATTTTTTAATATTTTTCTCTATATTAAAAATTTATGAAATATTCAGAAAGGTTTTATTTACAATTTTACTAATCAATTAGAAATTTTAGGTTTTTATTGGAATGATAATTTGTAGGTGGGGACAGTCCCACGGCTACATCAGTGTCACAACCGATAAGAAATGTTACCTATTTATTGGAATGATAATGTTTGTAGGATTATTTTCAATTTTTAAGACCATTAAAAAATTTAAGGTATTTATTGGAATGATAACATTTGTAAATGGAGATGCTACTAAGCTTTGATTTGAACATATTTTATTGCACTAAATATATACAATGGGATTGGGCACAAGTTCTGAAAACTTAAATTGCCTTCTCCCTAAGCTTTATCAGCCTCACAACAGATTGAGAATATTAGGTATGTATTGGAATGATAACATTTGTAGCTGGGGATGTCCTTAAGCTACATCACTGTCACAACCAATCAGAAATTTTACTTATTCCATTGTTATTATAACGATTTTGTAGGTGGTGACGGCCCGCGGTTACATCAGCGCCACTCCAGCCAGTCGTCCGTAGCCTCCTCCCAGGACGATGGTTCTTCCTCTTCCTCTGTGACCCGGAGCTGGCATTCCATGCTCCAGACGTACAAAATCATCATGAACACCCTCCATCTCAAACCCTACAACATGCGACCCGAGACAAAAGAAATCATCATCTACATCACCTCTGTGTTTGATCAGAAAAGCTTCTGGGGACAAATCGTTGTAGATGTAAGTCATGCAATGTTTTGTTTTTAGCTCACCTGAGCCGAAGGCTCAAGTGAGTTTTTCTGATCAAAATTTGTCCGTTGTCTGTCATTGTCGTTGTAGTTGTCGTCGTTGGCGTCGGCGTAAACTTTTCACATTTTCATCTTCTCCTCAAGAACCACTGGGCCAATTTCAACCAAACTTGGCACAAAGTATCCTTGGGTGAAGGGGATTCAAGTTTGTTCAAATGAAGGGCCACGCCTTTTTCCAAGGGGAGATAATCATGAATTTGTTAAAAATTAATGGCATTTTTAAAAAATCTTCTTCTCCAGAACCGCTGGGCCAGGAAAGATGAAACTCATGTGGAAGCATCTTCAGGTAGTGTAGATTCAAGTTTGTTGAAATCATGACCCCCGGGGCAAGGGTGGGGCCAAAATGCCCAACCCAAGTTTTACATAGGAATATATAGGAAAAATCTTTAAAAATCTTCTTCTCCAGAACCACTGGACCAGGAAAGATGAAACTCGTGTGGAATCATCCTCAGGTAGTGTAGATTCAAATTTGTACAAATCATGACCCCCGGGGCAAGGGTGGGGCCAAAATGGCCGACCCAAGTTTTACATAGGAATATATAGGAAAAATCTTTAAAAATCTTCGTCTCTTCAAGAACCACTGGGCCAGGAAAGATGAAACTCATGTGGAATCATCCTCAGGTAGAGCAGATTTAAGTTTGTTCAAATCATGACCCCCGGGGCAAAGGTGGGGCCAAAATGGCCGACCCAAGTTTTACATAGGAATTTATGGGAAAAATCTTTAAAAATCTTCTTCTCCAGAACCACTGGACCAGGAAAGATGAAACTCGTGTGGAATCATCCTCAGGTAGTGTAGATTCAAATTTGTACAAATCATGACCCCTGGGGCAAGGGTGGGGCCAAAATGGCCGACCCAAGTTTTACATAGGAATATATAGGAAAAATCTTTAAAAATCTTCTTCTCTTCAAGAACCACTGGGCCAGGAAAGATGAAACTCATGTGGAATCATCCTCAGGTAGTGCAGATTCAAGTTTGTTCAAATCATGACCCCCGGGGCAAAGGTGGGGCCAAAATGGCCGACCCAAGTTTTACATAGGAATTTATGGAAAAAATCTTTAAAAATCTTCTTCTCCAGAACCACTGGACCAGGAAAGATGAAACTCGTGTGGAATCATCCTCAAGTAGTGTAGATTCAAATTTGTACAAATCATGACCCCCGGGGCAAGGGTGGGGCCAAAATGGCCGACCCAAGTTTTACATAGGAATATATAGGAAAAATCTTTAAAAATCTTCTTCTCCTCAAGAACCACTGGGCCAGGAAAGATGAAACTCATGTGGAATCATCCTCAGGTATTGCAGATTCAAGTTTGTTCAAATCATGTCCCCCGGGGCTAGGGTGGGGCCAAAATGGCTGACCCAAGTTTTACATAGGAATATATAGGAAAAATCTTTAAAAATCTTCTTCTCAAGAACCACTGGGCCAGGAAAGATGAAACTCATGTGGAATCATCCTCAGGTAGTGTAGATTCAAGTTTGTTCAAATCATGACCCCCGGGGCTAGGATGGGGCCAAAATGGCCGACCCAAGTTTTACATAGGGATATATAGGGAAACCTTTTAAAATCTTTTTTTCAAGTACTTCAAAGCTATGATTAGTGATATTTATATGGAATCATCCTTCGGTAGTGTAGATTCTAGTTTGTTCAAATGATGAACGCCTGGAGGGGGGGGGGTGGAGTAAATTCAAGCCTGATGTGCTCAGGTGAGCGCTGTGGCCCCTGGGCCTCTTGTTTTTTAATGCATGGCTCTGTAGCTTTCTGGTCTTTCATTCTTTTATTTTTTAAAGATCAGTGCACTTAAGACCTGCAGCTAAAGAGAAAGAAATTTTTTTTATTTTTTAATTTTAAGTTACTTCAGTGTCTGACCAGACAGACAAAATTTGCCTTGCAAATGGACCATCAGGCAGGGCATTTGTGTCCAATGGACATGTTTCTATATCATGATTAATGCAAAATATCTGTTAAAATAAATGTTACTTTTATATTCCACACTCCTTAAAAATAGTCTTAAAACCTCAAATCACTGTTGTTAGGAAGATGAGGCAAAATAAATCCAGAAATCAATTGAAAATCGCTGAGACTTGACCTACAATAAGTCTGTTATAATTTTTAGGAGGACAGCCTTCAAGCATTAACTGAGGTCATGACATCTCTTCAGGAGCCTGAACACAGAATAGGGCCCACTAAAGGTCTGGGTCGATGTGCTGCCCTGTATAAGGATGAATGGTACAGGTAAGTTGTGGATATAGAATAGGTCTCACCAAAGGTCTGGGTCAATGTGCCGCCCTGTATAAGGATGAATGGTACAGGTAAGTTGTGAATATAGAATAGGTCCCACCAAAGGTCAGGGTCGATGTGCCGCTCTGTATAAAAGGGAATAGTACAGGTAAGTTGTGAACACAGCATAGGACCCACCAAAGGATTGGGTGGATGTATCACCATTTATAAAGACGAGTGGTATAGGTAAGTGGTGAGAACAGAATAGGTCCTACGGTCCTACCAAACGTCTGTGTCAATGTGCCAACCAGTACAAGGGCGGATGGTACAGATGGGGCAGGATTCAGATCTAAAACTTCATCTTCTGATTTTGTATTTTGTTTTGGTGTGCATATTTCACCAGATTTTTTTTTCTTGTCATTTTTGATCCGCATCATATTTTCTTTGAATCAAATATCTTTCTTTGCAAACTTCTATTTATAATTCTCAATGTTAAGTTTGTTAACATATCATTTTTCAGCCAAAATAAATTTTTTTAAAATATGTACTGATTTAGTGAACGTGCATTTACTTTGTTTTATGTACAGAGCCTGGATCATAGGAGAGAAGTCTGCACAGAGACAGGTGGATGTGTTCTTTGTGGATTACGGAAACACGGAGAGTATAGACAAAAGGAAGACCAGCCTCACAACTCCGTACATCTGGGAGACCAAGCCCATACTCCAGCCCTTTGTCATCTCAGGTAAGTCAAGGAAATACAGTAAAACTTGTTTAGTACAAACACAGATATTGCAAATTCACGGATATAGCAACGTTATCTTGGATCACCCGCTATATAAATTTAACAAATTCCTTATATGGATACAACAAATGATGGATATAGTAAAGTAATTTCATTGGTCCCAGTGACTTTGCTATAACCAAGTTTTACTGTAAACAAGAACACTTAATCACTCAGGTCGAACATTAAATTTTTTCAAGTTATCTTATAAGTGTAATTTTTCAAAATACAACTCTCTTACATGCCAGCAAGTACCGGTACTTGTTGCACTTTCATAAATTCTTAAAGTTTTGCAGTTTATTCTAATATCTTTTAAATACAGAATTTACCTCGTAAATGTTCTCCTTGTAGAGGGCTGTAAAGTAGACCTGAAGGACAGTGGATTAGTGAGTGCAACAGTTGTCAAATATGGAGTGGATGAAACAGTTAGTAGATTTAATAAGAATTTGATTTATTAATTATAAGTTAAATAGAATTTTTCTGATTGGTTTGTCAAATTTTCATCATTAAAGGACTAGCTGCAGATCTGTAGCGTTATGGTTTTATATATTTGTCTTTGACCATAACGCTACAGATCCCATAGTGCAAAAAAGGTGCAATTTACGGCGCAATATTTTTTGCGCTCTTTTGGGGAGAATTTCTCCACTTTCTAGCATTGGTCAATCAACTACCTTTCACTCCCTAATTCTAGACACATTCTGTTGCCAATATGTATAGTTTATCCACCTCCCAACCATTTATAGTTGTCTCTACAGGCAATAAACTCGCTTGAAGTGAATTTTCAGTAATCTAACAAATAATTTTAAGCAAGCGAGTTTATCACTTGTAGAAACGACTATAAAGGGTTGGGAGATGGATAAAATATACAGATTAGTTAAATAATGTGTCTAGGATTAGGGCTTGAAAGGTAGTTGATTGAACGATGCTGGAAAATGGAGAAATTCTCCCTAAAAGAGCGCAAAAAATATTGCGCCGTAAATTGCACCTTTTTTGCACTACGGGATCTATAGCATTATGGTCGAAGACAAATACATAAAACCATAACACTACAGATCTGCAGCTATTAAAGTACATGATAAATCTTTTTAATAATTAAGAATACATTGATGAATAAAAATTTTAAGTCATCTGTAATTCATACCACTCTTTTATTTAATGAATTGACATGAAAAAAATGTGAATTTTTTAGGGTTATGCCGTGGAAGTGAACATTGATGGATATATACAGTGAAGAGTTTTCTCCCTTCCAGCAGAACATAAATGCCAGGGTAAAGGGACTTAAATCCTCTTTGAGTCGGTTATTTTTCTATTTTTAAAAAAAAAAATTCAATTGTTAACAGTGAATTTTGCAAGATTTATATACATGTATTAATGTTGGCTTATGTTATTCTCCAAATGCGGTGTACTGCAAACTGGATATACTGTAAATCACTTTTTATTCGCGAGAACTTTATTTTCGCGTAATTACGCGAGACAGTGTGCTCGCGAAAATTAAATTCTCGCTTATAAAAGTATTCCTTAAGATTACATATAACAATAACCACAATTCGTGAAAATTTTGTCTCGCTAATCAAGAGTCAATGACTATCTCGCGAAAATAAGGTGTCGCGAAAATTTAGTGATCTACAGTACACAAATTACAAATGATTTAGATTTGAAGGTACATGTAAAAATTTATGTGCTATATTCAGCACATAAATTTCCACATTTAAAGTGTTCTTTTTTTTCTAGATGTGTAAAATTTAGGGAAAAAATCCTAAAATTTTAAAAATTTGAGATTGGTTATGTTTTGTATCAATTTTTTTATATGAATTAAGAAAATTTCTTTTTTTCTTAATGTAAAAAAGGGTATGCCCTTTTAAAAAGTCGTCATTCAAGAAATTGTTTGTTTTTTTTAAATACTTATACAGTTCCAAATATACATGAAAATGAAGACCGTCTTCTGCAGTTTTTGCTGAATCTTGTTATTAATTCTTAGAGATTGTGAGTCAAGCAAAATAGCAGTGCGGGTATTTTGTGAGTGTACTATTTATAAAATGTTGAAGGCTATAATTTGAATTTCTTGAAGCCTCTTTGGTTTAATAAAATATTGTCTCAGAAAACCCTGTGATATAATGCAAAATCAATTATGATCATGAGGGCTTAAATTTTGTTTTCATGCAAAGAAGAGACCCATATAAATTGTATACTTCACAGAAAGTTTGAGTTACAAACTACAATACATGTATATTAATGTTTCTTCGTTCTAGAAATTAGATTCTTTGAAACAACATCATTTCTTTAATCCATGTGAGTTGTACTTCCCTTAAAATAAAGATTTAGCAGTATTTAGCACTGCATTGACTGTTTTATTACTTATTAAGAATTATATTAATGTATGAAGAAAATACATTGTCAGGTAAATATCTTGTTGATGGAAGTTGTTGTCTAAAAAAATAATAATAAAAGAGTCGCTTGTTCTCTCCTCATGGGATACCTTGTAAATCAAGATCTATGGAAATCTAGTTTGTTTATCACTTTCTGTGAGACAATTTTTTTAATTGTGTTGTTGAAGTATTCTTCAGTATATTTTAATTTTTTGATGAAATGAACATTTGGATTTCTTCTATTGTAGTATGCAGTTCTGCAAACACAAGGTATTTTTGCAAAACTTACATGTATTTCTGTTTTTGAGGTCACAGATGGCTATGCTGTTATATACTTTGTAAGTGTCTTAGAATTTTATTTTCTTCCTCAAAAGAAAATATCAATTATAAACTGTCATTATACATATATTTGTGTTAGTTCTTCAGAGGTTCTTGAAGTTTAATTTTGAAAAAAAAAATTGTTTAATACCTGTTTTTTGTCAGGACCAACATGAAATTAATTTCCTTGCAATTCCCTTTAAAACATTTCCACAAATTTTTGTACCATAATAAGATGAAGTAAATCGTAAAATAAAAAAATTACGTTGCAACATAAATATTGAATTGGGAGTGTTAAAACTGATGTCGAGGGATAATTGCACGTTCTTCTACACATGATCTTGTTTGTTTCAGATTAAAACTGGTTATTTACATATTGACTAAATTTAGATGGTGATTGTCTTATGAAAAAAAAAATTCTGGATTTTGAATTGTTCGTTTACATTTAGTTTCTAATTAAATTGCTTAGCATGTACTGCTGTTCATGAAAAAAAAAACCGAAAAAAAAAAAAAAAGAATTATAAAGTCTTGTTGTTGGCCTTCATGTTGCAGTCTGTTCCTCAAATGTTGGCAATGTCGCATAAAAAAAATTGAATTTTGATAATTGTATTCACATACGTATGTCAGAAATGCAATTGTATTTTTAAAAAAATTGTGTATCTTTGTATGTATAGTTTTGAAGAACTATTTAACCTTAATAATGTAATTGGTTTATATATAAACATATACTTGGATTAAAAGTCTAGAAAAGAGAAAGGTACAAGTACTGAGTATATTGATTCTCCTCTTTTTTGTGGTACATATGTATGTTGCACTTTATTGCTTCCTCATCCTTTAAAAAAAATTAAAAATCTTGAATGCATTACTTTCTATGCTTTATGTCCGAAAAATTAATTTTAATGGTTTTTTTTGGGGGGGGGGTCAGATTGTCAGTGGTTTTTATTTTTTGAATCAAAATAATTTCATGCTTTTTTTCCTTCATCTTTTTCTATATGTTAATGTTTATGTGAAATTATTATTATTAATTATTGCACTATCTTTAAAAAATATTTATCTTTTGTGCTCAATCCACCCTTGTTATTTTGTTGGATCCACTCCTGTCTTTCTTGGAATGTTTAACCATGACATTGTACCACAAATGATTCCTCTTGTTTTCTTCCCCATGAAGCTCAGAAAAGCTTAAGGGAGTTGGCCCACATTGTAACATTAAAACTGTGTTCAATGTTCTTCAGTATTTGAATTTTCCAAATAAAAATATCTTTTTTCTCATTCGAGTTGTTTTCATGTTTAGTTCATTATTTGGGTTTTCTATTGCAAAAAGTAGCTGTTTTTTGTAATTTTCTTTTAGTAATGTGGGCAACAAGGAGAAAAATGCTTTGTTGCAATTAGATGAATTTAGTATGGGTATAAAAAGCATCCAGATGAAATCATTCTTCTTTGATTGCTGAGTCGGTAGATTTTTTTTATTTGTAATGCCCTGTTCACACAGAGAGTTTAATTCGAATTAAACGTAAAGTTACTGCGAATTAGCTTCGCTTAGCGTTCACACGAAGAATTTAATGCGAATTAGTTTAATTCGAATTAATTTACTGCGCATTAAATTACTTCGCATTAGCTCCATGTGAATGCTAAGCGAAGCTAATTCGAATTAAATTTTGACGCATGCGTAAGGCCACAATTAAGTCACAGGACCCGTGTTGGTGGTTATATTTAGGTATTTGTGCTATATTTGGTTCAAAAATTGAGGGAAAGTATGTAAATCACTAAAATCAATGAATACCTGTAGCCACTACACCTGTACATGAAGTATCAAAGGATGGCTCTGCATACATGACGTGATTTACAAATGACGTCATAATAGACTTACTGACGCCTGACTGTAGAAGAAAAATTTTAATTCGCATTAGTTTACTTCGCATTAGCTGTCGTGTGAACGCAATTTAATTCGCATATGCCATTAATTTGATTTGCATTAGTTTACTTCGCATTAATTTACTGCGAATTAAACTCGTCGTGTGAACAGGGCATAAGAGAATTAATACTGCTAGTTTTACTAAAAATTCAATGGCACTTCATTAAGATATCAAGAGCTGAGTTCTCATCAAACAACATTTACTTTGCTGTTATTTTTTAGTGAAGCACTGGATTTGGTTATGAGCAAAAACTAGAGTGTAGAGCGTATTTCTTTTAATTGCAAACTAATAAATTCTTATTTGAAATATATAACTGCGCTGCAGTGCATTGCATGGAAAAAACTGATGTATTATCTTGTTCTAATACACTTAATTTTTATTAATAGGCAATTAGAGTAGTCAAAACACTGTGAAATTTTATGTTTCACAGACGAGTGAACATTGTCAGACTGAATATTAATGAAACATATTAAAGGGGACTTCTTATAGGGGACTTCTTATTACTGCTAAGCAGTGCTTGGTTTGTGAGACAAACTCACGGATTTATTCATACAAAGCCTGGAGAGAACACAAAACTTTAGTCTGAATTCAACACTTACATTGTACCGGTAACTATAATTGAGCGACTCTCAGCTCTTCTATAGTATACAAACTGACTACTCGTTAGCATTGCCTAAAACATTTGCATAAAATAAAACAGACGTTGTTTCTACGTTGTTCAAAGGGACATAATTTGAGTTATCGAACTTTGTTACAGAATGACATTATGCAAATTTTACAACTATAATCAGTCACAAGGGAAAATTATATATATGGGATGTCTTTTAATGGTGGATGGTGGGGGAATGTTTGAAATACAGTGTTATGGAAAATGATTAAGACTGTACAAGTACAAGAAAGATTGCATCTTAATGCACTTTCCTGCAATAAAATGCTACACATTGTTATGCATGGAAAATTATCCAGTCCAAATAATCTGTCATTTTTAGCTCACTTTAACGATTTTACCTTCGGCGTCCCAGGTTAAAAATTTTGATACAGTTGATTTTTCTTTAAGTAAATCTATACCCTACATTGACACGCCTGCTAATCGATCACTTGCACAACCAGCAGTTGTGTATAACAATCAAAAGAGATCGATTTCCGGTTGTGCAGTTGATGCGAATAATTCCAGTGCACAGGTAGTAAACGGACTCGATTCAGGCAATAATTGATATTTTTATTAAAATATAAGAATGTGATTCCATGAGCAATTTATTTTTCTTTAATTTTACACTCTCATAAAATGCAGTGATTGTCGATTAGCGACTATATTTGTTTTGAAGCAAGGGCTGGTAGAGCGAAAACGCTGATTGAAAACAGTATTCGCCGACTAAAATTTGTTTTAATCTCAACTAACCTTGAAAATTCAATGTCCACCATGAGTATGCAACAAGTGCATCCTATCCACCAAAACTGGGACTTCGATATGTGTATAATTTGACAAATATTCGAAGAAAAAAACATTGCTTGTGCATGCGATCATTCAGTTGTCGGAAAGAGATCTCGGGTTATGCATGAGATAAAGGATAAAAAGTCACGCAAGTATTATACAATCTCCATAATTCACCTCTTATACTATTTTATTTTTGGTAATTATCAAATGTTAAATATTGTCTATAATATGAAGACGTTACAGGGGCAGATCCAGCAATTTTTGAAAAAAGGGGCCGGGGGGGGGGGGGGTGTCCAGGTGTCCAACACTCATGCATATAGGCACTTCAAACCTGGCAACACTGAGTTTTCAACAGTTCTATGGGGGACTTTGACAAGCAAATAACAAACAAACAAAACAAAAACACAAACAAGCAAGCAGGGCTCGGATTCATTGCATGTGACGGTACTCGGAGGAAAGCATATTAAACGAGGGAACTCTATTTATAGCGATCAGAAAGGACAGAGATTGAACAACATGTACAGTGTATTTATTTAATTCGAAATATTTTTTTTATTCAAAGTATTTATTTTATTCAAAATATTAGACGTAATAAAATATCCGTGTTACATAACTCTCTCTCTAATCAAATAGAGGGGGGGGGGGTCAAACCCCAGGAACCACCTTCTAGATCCGCCAATGATGTACAGTCACTTTTGCAAGCACATTTTGACTTTTTCAGCAGCAGCGGCCGATCTCTTATATCGGGAAATGAGGCGTTATTTTTCATTAGTTCTGTAAACTAATCTTAATTTTAAAAACTTTCTTTAAACTGAGCATTTATTGTTGTTGTTACAATTTCATTGTCTTTTAATTACCAAATTAGAATTCAAATTGGGTAATTAATGAAATATGGTTATATAGAAAGAGTTTACAATAGGTTCTCCCCAACCAGGGAGTAATCAAGATATGAAAGGAAATCGTCATGATTTTCCAGATAATAATGAAGTGGTAAAAGTTGCAAGGTGAATAAAAATTGAAAAAGTTTTTCTACAACACTGTAGTAAAAATTGTCTTGAATGTGCTACAGATGTGACAACAAATATTTTTCTTACATTTTTTCCATCAAACTACGCGCCTTGATCACCTGCTGCAGAAACCATGGGTATTATCACGTGATAAAGATCCAAGGTTTCGGCCTGTGGTTCATCTTGAGAGAACTACATCTTCATTCATACATTCTTATAATTCATCATTAATTGACTTTTTTGTTGATTCATTGATAACTCCATTTGATGACCAAATGCACTAAAATTTCTATTTAATTAAAAAAACCATTTTATTTATTTTTGCTTTGAAGACAGTCTGAAATGAAATCGATCTATTTCAGCTTTGAATATGTTGTGCTTCCCATGCATTGATGCCTTTGAAATAAAGAAAGTACTAGTAATTTTTGAAATTATAAACTTTGCGGCTGATTTGATGCTTTGCATTAATTTTACAGTGTATTTGGAATGTTTAATAAGGATATTTTTTATTGAACGATTATTTTGGATTTTTGACGATTTTTCCCCTATAGTATACATGATGAATAAATGTAATAAATATAATTTGTGAGAAAAAAAAGTGTCCAACAAGTCCGGGGGTGGGGGGGGGGGGTGGGGGGTCCTGTCCAGAAGCACCTGTAATGTGGTGTTGTCATCTTGATCCTTTCCATCTCGATAACAAAATTCAGGATACCTTGCTTCAAAACACCAGGAAATATTTACCCCTTGGCAAACACATATCATCGAGAGCCTGCCTCTTATTTTTTTTCACAGACAGCACTTTTACTATAAAATATATATGAAATGAAAGCATGAAAAATTCGGTCTTTCCCTCCACTTTTGTTGAAGTACCGTCAAATAAAGGTAAGGTATGTTTGAGTTAAACAATTTCGTACTGAAAGAAAATGATATACTGCCCAGTATATGCTGTTTTTTTTTTAATTTTTTATTTTATTTTCTCTCTTTTTTTATTATTAATTTTATTTATTTATTTTTTTTTTTTGCATACGGAATAGTCATATTAAAGATGCATTGGATAATTCACACAAGATTTATGATTTAAATAATACACACATAATTTTTTACTGTAATTATATATATTGATTGTAACTGAAACTTTAACCCCCTCCCTTAACAGATCTACTTCAACAGTTTACTTATCTTATATATCTTTTTTTTCTCACAAATTCAACTTATTTGCAAGAAAATTCTATAGTTTTATGTTTTAAATTTTGCAAGACTACGTTATAATTATTTAATGTTTAATTTTATTCGTAAAGTTTGAAACCTTTTGTCCTTCATCTCATGCATAACCCGAGATCTCTTTCACAACTGAATGATCGCATGCACAAGCAATGTTTTTTTCTTCGAATATTTGTCAAATTATACACATATCGAAGTCCCAGTTTTGGTGGATAGGATGCACTTGTAGCATACTCATGGTGGACATTGAATTTTCAAGGTTAGGTGAGATTAAAACGAATTTTAGTCGGCGAATACTGTTTTCAATCAGCGTTTTCGCTCTACCAGCCCTTGCTTCAAAACAAATATAGTCGCTAATCGACAATCACTGCATTTTATGAGAGTGTAAAATTAAAGAAAAATAAATTGCTCATGGAATCACATTCTTATATTTTAATAAAAATATCAATTATTGCCTGAATCGAGTCCATTTACTACCTGTGCACTGGAATTATTCGCATCAACTGCACAACCGGAAATCGATCTCTTTTGATTGTTATACACAACTGCTGGTTGTGCAAGTGATCGATTAGCAGGCGTGATTGATCAGACATACGTGCAAAATACTTTTTGTGCGTTTCATTTTACCAGTCAAGGTTTCAGATTCTGCAATTTTAGCCAAGGAACGACCAGGTTAATGTTTTTGGAGCAGGGGTTCAAGTTTTAGGTGCAGTTAAAAGTTTTTTGGCGCAGGTCTCATTTCGGAGTAACTATAAGCCCTATGTTGACCAAACTTCCATGGGTGATACATCTAAGGATACATATTACCAGGCTTGCTTCAGAATTGGATATGACCTACATTTTTCGGATGAGTGAACAGGTAAAAGTTTTTGGACCAAAACTTGAAATCTATAGGAATGCACACTATCATGCTCGCATCTAGATTTTCCAGATGAGTGATTTTGGGATGTACACTTTTAAATTTATTTAGTAGTTTAATGTAACTTTGCCAGTTTACTGTTAAATTAAACTGCACAATTTACTATTGTATAGATTTAACTCATATTTCCTGATCTTGTTGGAGTTCGTCTAGACTGATTATAAACACCACCCCCTTCATTTGACTTTAAGTTGAAAAAAAAATTGTTTGATCGTCGGAAAGAATAAATATCAATTCAAACAAAGGGTTATTTTTTTCTTTCATAAATTTTCCTTGGGCCTAGGTGTCTTTTATATATGCGCCAACAATTACCTTGGACCGTTCTGTTAGGGCCGAGGTGTCGATTTGTCGGGCCGAGTTGTCGCTGCGTTGGTGTCGGAAGCAAAATGAATGTGAAGGGGGGGGGGGGTTAGTGAAAGAGAAAAAAATTCAAACCTACAAAAAAATTTGAGTAGCCAAAAAAAATAATTAATAAATACCCCCCCCCCAAAAAGGGGGGGGGAATGCGTCCATTTTCCAAAATAAAAGTCCTATTTCGTGCGGGGGATGGATGCATGCTTTGTTGACCTAAACTGCAAGTGCCTGTTGAAGTGAGGGACCGGGAAGGGGGGGGGGTGCTAAACATACGCCCCAATGTTCAAAGCCTATATGTTATGTCTCTCTTTGCAAAAAAAAACAAACAAAAAAAACAGTTGGAAATACGTCACTGGTGGATTTAATGTTGTTGTGTGTACTCATTATTTGAATTTCTTAATAATGCAATATGAAGAACAGGGAAAATAGTCATAACGTCAAATTTTATATTTTAGTTTCAAGAAAAAATGTGGGAAGACAGGTATACACTGCATGTATATGCGATATCATATTACTAAACCTTGTGAACATTTTAATGTATGGTTTTACAACTTATTTTACCATCTTAATTAAGTTTTTTCTGGATTTGATTGGCATGTCTACCTATTATAATTGGTTTCTGTTGTATTATAAGTACAAAATTAACCTACGAGCTCAATAACTCTTACGAATCAAATAATAATTAGGAAATGGTTTTTAGAAGTTTAAATCTAAAGTTTACTGAAACTTATCTATAATTATATATATTAATAGATAAGCTTAAATTTACTTTAACTTTGAATGTAATATATATATAGTACATGCATCTGAGCAAAATAATTTTTTCTTTCCTTGACAAGCCAAAAAATAGGGGATCTTCAAGCGTCATGATTGAGTGCCACCTAACCTGATAGTGTTGTGCCCCTCCCCCCTCCCCCAACACGATGCTTTTAATGGGGCCTCTACGACACTAATTTTTTGACATGTAAAATGTATTTTGAAAAATTGGCTGTTATGTAATTTTATTTTGACACACTGTTACATTTTGTATACAGTTTGCACACGACAACTACACACGGGCCGAGGTGTCACTTAATTATGGACCCTTTGCACCCAGCACTAAATATTTCACGGGAACTCACCTTCCATTCTTCATTCATTTGGCGCCGAATTCTCCGAGACACTAGACAGATAACTTCGAAGCAGTAAGGTACTGTATTTTTGTTTAAATCTTGGAATATTGATGTGAATAATGTTATTTAAAATGCTTTTTAAATTTTATTTTAAAAAAGTTATTTAATTAAATATAAATGAGCAAATAGACTGTGTGTACGTGAATGTATAGCTTTTGCGGGTTGCGACATTACGAAAAAAAAAAAGAAAACTATTTTACCTTTCTTTCAGAAGGTATCCACTGATTAAAAAAAGAACAATGCCTGCCACATGCAATTGCTCAGAAAGTAAGTATTATTTTCAACATTTACTGTTCAGTACACATACATACAGAGCAAAATTTTGGATGTATCGCCATGTTATTTTTTAGATATATTTTGGGAGCAAATGATATGAATATCAAATCTCTGAAAACTAAATAAAAAAAAGAGAAAACTATATACCCGGGCTTTTTAACGCCATCCTTCTTTTTGTTTTTATTACTGCAGACGATTTTTGTTTTTGTCTTTTGAGAAACTTATTTTAAAAAATTGACTCATTCTTTTTACTTAGACCATTCACAGTTATTTTTCTCTGTTTAGCGTCCACCCATCATTCAAAAAAAAAAAAAAAAAAGAATAATGTCTATTATTTAGCAAAATCAAGAAATAAATGCTTAAATACACCTCGCCTGCTCTGAGTCTATGGACATTTTGTACAAAAGAATCTGAGAAATCGTCAGAACTAAGATTTCAGCCCAAATCATCGGGGTTCGAGCTCCTTATTTTGCTTGTTGTATCTGATACGAGGTGTCAAAATCCAAAGTACCTGCGGACACTAAACATAAAAAAAACACTTGGAATGGTCTTGCATAGATCACATTAGCTGCAGATCTGTAGCGTTATGGTTTTATATGTTTGTTTTTGCCATAACGCTACAGATCCCGTAATGCAAAAAGGGGCACAATATTTTTTGCGCACTTTTGGGGAGAATAATATAAGATCAGCAAACATCACATGTATCAATTAATGTAAAGTGGGGTATTTTTTGTGGGACGATTATTTTGGGTTTTTTCACGATTTTTTCCTATGGTACACTTGATGAACAAGTGTAAAAAATTAATATATTTGTGGAGAAAAAATTCCAACAAGCCTAGGGTTGAATATCGGGAGGGGGGGGGGGGGGAGATAAGAAATTGTCTCTCGTAGACAAATAATTTTCAGAGTTATCGCTCTTTCATCCTGACAGTTATTTTTCCTAGGTGGAAAATGCCAATGCATGGAATTTCAAACCTGTCCACCCAGCGTGTGTAAATGTGGACCCGGGTGTAAATGTGGAGCTGGGTGCACGTGCACTGGATGTCAGCTGAAATGCAGCTGTAGCGGTGAGTATAATTATTAAATATATCATAATTAATTTTAAAAATCAATTTATTTAAACATACGTGAAGTATTTTTGAGTCGCCTGTCTCATGTGTCTGGTTATACGAAATAAGTTTGGAGATCTTATTCTAATTCGCTGACAGTGGAGAGGATCTTGAAGTAAGGTTATGTCCAAATAGGTTTGGGACGGTTACTCTGAAATTAAACACACTGAAGTTTATAGACTTTAGTTTATCTAAGTAATAGATACTACTTTATCAGTTTATTCTGCATCTACAGGCCACAAGACCATAAACTGAGAACCGACTTTTAAAGTCGAAGCTTAATTAAGACGAATATAAATTCTGAAATAATTTTGATAATAATTTTGATAATCAACCAAAATTTTTATTTTATTGTATTGTACGTGCTCAAATTTTAAATAGAGATAAATATGCAATTTTTGAAACTAATCCGGGATTCCTCTGACTCTAACCCCTGCTTTTATATTGCATATTATATCTCCCCTGCACAAGTCACAATATAAAAGCAGGGGTTAGAGTCAGAGGAATCTCGGATTAGAGATAAATATGAAATTTTTGAAACATGTGCAGCTGCTATATGCAAAAAAAAAAAAAAAAATTTAAAAAAAATTCTTAAGATGTTGAGAATCAAAATGATGACTTAAGTCTATTCTCAATTTATGGTCTTGGGCCCCTGGTCTGCGATTAGAGTGACCTAGGTAAGGTACGCAATCTAAATCGGAGACCGTGGCTTCCGTGGTCAATTTCGTCCAAACAAAATTTAGTTTCTTTGTTCTTGATTAACTTCATTAATTGCAATCTGATTAAATCACATCTTTTGATCCGCTCACATAGATCGCTACAGCAGGGATCCTTGTGTAGCGATGTATGGGAGCGGATCAAAGGATATGGTTTTAATCAAATTGCGTTGATTGAAAATGCGATAATAGAAGATCACGTGACCGTGAAAAGGATAATCCTCCAACAAAGAAAAATCTATTGACACACTTGAGTATCGCTTTATTTTGACACTAGGCATTAAAAAGATGAAAGGAAACCCTTAAGGTGTAACACCCCTCTGATAAGAAAGATAATTTTTCGAGGTTCCGAGCAATCCATGGCCAATAAATAGCCCTGGCAAGCTCAATAATGCGGACCATTTTAAAGTCAACTCATTCAAATATGAACTACATGTATTGTTCAAATATTGCTATTTTCTTTTGTCAATATTTTTATTAATTACTTATAATTAGTTTACCTAAAATATCTGTACTCAGTTCCTGTCCTTTAAACTAAATATTTGTATATAGCTCTAACCCTAACTCTAACACCAATTTTTAAATTTTGTGGTGATATAGAAAATTATTGATCTTTACATTAACCATATCACATTTTCTTAGTATCATGATTAGAAACAATATTCAATTCTAAATTTAAAAAAAAAGAAACCAAATTAAAGCTTCATACTTCAAACTATTTTCCACTTGAATCGAATACAGTTACTGTTATAATTGTTGATAAAAAATGATGTTGGAAAAAAAAAATGGTGAAATTTGGAGCAGAGAAATTTCAAGAATAAAAAAAAATCAACGAAGAAATGAAATAATAATGTCTCATTTACAATTAAATGGCTGCGGCCGATAATGATTGTCCAATGGAGGACCCAGCGTGTGTGTGTGTGTGTGGGGGGGGGGGTTCCAAGGTTTGAAACCTCCCTTTATTTTTGCAGCGAGAGGGGAGAGAGGACGTGTTTTGCTGGAATAGATTTTTATCCCTATAGTATTAAATATAAAAGTAAGGGGGGGGGGGCACCTTGGAGAGTTATCAAGGGGAAATAACTCTTATAATAATTGATATACTGTTGCGTGTTTGAACATAGTAACACGATCGTGTGTGTGACTGTGCGGGTGAGTCTTATTCGTTGAATTTATTAATTTTAAGCATATATTTTTTTTTTTTTTTTAAAGAAATTATACAGATTTACTCTTTTTTGCAGGTAATTGTGCGTGTGGACAAGGCTGCACCGGACCTGATTCTTGCAAATGCGCAAATAGCTGTGACTGCAGAAAGTGACGAAATCTATATAAATGTACTCATGTGGTCTCAGGAATATCTTGTGTTTCACAGCCAAAGAACAAAATAAATTTAACATTTAGATAAGTAAATAAATTGATCTTCAAGTTTCATTTGTCATTATATTTTTGGTACTAGTATAGAGAGTTTTTTTATAATTATGCGATTTTTCTCAGAATTTACGGCTTATTTAAATTTTAAAAAAAGATTCGAAATGAGATGTGCAATTGAAAGAGGTAGAAATACAGTATTAAATGAAAATATAATGATATCACTGGTTATAATTGGGGAATGGAAGGTGAGACACCCCCCTCCCCCGACATACGCACGGTGAGCGAGATAGATGTACATTTGCCCATTTGAGGACTGATGATCCATTTTTAGCTCACCTTAGGCTCATGTGATCTTTTTTGATCGAAAGTGGCGTCGTTGTCGTAAACGTTTCACAAAACTATCTTATTCTCGATAAGCACTGGGCCAGTTTCAACCAAACTTGCCAAAGGTACATTGGTATCGTCGTGTGATGGGAATTCAAGTATGTTCAAATGAATGACACGCATTCTTCCAAGGTGGGGGGAGGGAATAATAAAGATTTCATGAAAAATTAATGACATCATTTCAAAATCTTCTCGAGAACCATTATGATTGAAAATATACCACAAACTTATGTGGAAGCAGCATCAGGTAGGGTAGATTAACATTTGTTCAAATTATGACTCCTGGGGGAAGGATGGGGCCACAGTTGGTGATCGAAGTTAATGTGTGATTGGTCATATTTATATGGAAGCATCCTCAGGTAGCGTAGATTCAAGTTTGTTCAAACCATTACCCGAAGTAGGGTGGGGTTATCATGGCGGATCAAAGATTTAATTGGAATTCATAGCAAAAATCTTTAAGAACATAAAAGTTGTGATTGGTCATACCTATATGCATTCTATAAGCATTCTCAGGAAGCGTTGATTCGAGTTTGTTCAAATAATGCCCCCCTCCCCCGCCCCACAACAGGGGATAAAAATTTACATAGGAATACACAGAAAAAAAAACTTCTCGATAACAGCAAAGTTGTGAAATCTTGGCACATTTATACTTTTCTCTCCTTTTTCTTTGCTAAAGTGCTCAGGTGAACGATGTGGTCCCTGGGTTTCTTGTTTAAAATGTATGCAAGGTTTTCCTTTTGCCAAGCTTTTAAAAATCATTTTTCAAAACGTGCGCTCAACTAGAACCTCGGGTCCCTAGAAAATTTTCTGTTGATTAAACGTGTGTTGACGACTGACAAACACATCAATATTTAGGAAAATCATCACTTTAGGGGACAGAACCATGATTATGAAATAATTAAAATAAACACAAGTTGATGTCAAAAGATTCGGTGTCGGACAGGTGCCACCCCCTCCCCTCATTCACAAATGTTTTGCTGTTAAATCTTATCAAGCAATGCATAAATTATAATTAGCAGTTTGAGGATCCAAGGTCCTAGCCGAGCGTACGTTTTATCCTGGTCTCTCTGTATACGAGTACTAGTATTCTAGACTAAAGATTGAAATTATACATGACTATTTATAAGAATGTACCGGTACATACATGTAATGAGTAAACAAACGGCAAATGATATTTTGTACACCAATCTTTTTACTGTTTTTTTTTTCAAACACCTTGTCTTATAATCAATCTTCAACATGTTCAAAGTGATAGACACACATAGTACAGCATTGTATAGGATTTGTTACACACGGAAAATGATAATATAGATGTAATTCAATGAAGCGATTTAATTATTTTCAATGAAAATATTCGAGGAATCATTTGTTAAACAAACTTATAAATGTACGTACACCATCAATTCACTTGGTGG